AAACTTAAAATAAAAACAAAATATAATGTGACAATAAATTAAAATCACATTAAATTAACACTAGATCAAACGCAAAGGTTTTGTAGCGTGATTTGATAATAATTTTAATAAAAAGTGAAATTTAAACCTTCTTTTTTTAATTGAAGAACCACGAAAATTAAAAAGAATTCGAAATTGGGATCAAATTGGTTTGATTTTAAATTACACAAAGTTTTAAACCACAATGAACCGTATCACAAGTGTCAAATTAAGTGAGCCCCTATTATCCCTCATGATTTTGAGAGTCAGTTTTTCCAAAGAGAGAAGCCCTTGCTCGTTTCTCCCGTTATTCTCCATTAATTAATTTCGCCTCTCTGCTTGCCAAGTGCAACCGCGACACTTGAGCCGCCGCCGTTTCCTGTTGCACCGCGTGCAGAATGCAAACTTTTACAAAGCAAATCTCGCCCGCTCGCTTCAGTTTGAGAGAGAGCGAGGGGAGCTATATGCGAATGCGTCTAGTACAAAAATACTCGCGCTTGCAGCACCCAAGCGAGCGGGGGCGTCGGGTGTTTATTTTGCTACACGGCAGACGCGCGCACTCAGCCTGATTGCCTCTTATTCCGCGCGACGCTATGCAACTCGAGTAATTGTCAACTAAGCCACGACGACGCCGGTTTTCACTTTCGTCAAACAAAAACGTGTCCCGCCTCTCGATTTGGTGAAACCGAAAACCATCGAGGGTCATTAATTGCAATTGCCATTTAATTGGCAAAGAAATACAGATTTAATTAAATATAACAGCTAAAAAAGAATTAAAAATACAATCAAAATAACAAAACTGTTAAGAATTCAGATCTACATCTTTAAAAAAAAATAATAATAAAACTATTTTTGAACAATATTTCAATTTTTTAAACGTATAATGTTGCAAAAGTTAACTAATAAATATCATTGAATTGGACAAACTTCTTAAGTAACCTCCAACTTTCCAGACGGTTGTTTTGTAAACAAAACTTCACATCGCCGAAGATGGGGCCACAGTTTAACAATACAACTCTCAATTCTATCGCTGTCTGGCGAGTCCCTCTTTAGGAAGCCCCATATATTTCATTCACGCCAAATTATCCCGAGCTGACCTCAGCCAAGACAAAGAAGTTTTAGAAATTTCGAGCAGCAGCGCTTTATACGCTGCAAGCTCATTGTCGTTGCGAGGACAACTTGTCAGGCTTATTACGCGTCGCTCTGGGCAAATGCACGTCGCTCAGCGAGCTAAGCGCAATGGGGTAAAAAGGTAATTTTGGTGGCAGCGACGAAAAACGAACCTTCCAAAAAATCCATTGTTCGCTTTGTTTCGAGTGAAAACGGGCGGCGAACAAAGCGGGCCATATGCCGGGGGAGGACGAAACTTTGACGCGGGGTAAATAAATTTATTCGTTCTGGTAAATGACGCAGTGTAAACTTTATAATAAAAATAACATGATCGCTTTGTTAATTTTCTTTCCATGATCCTCAGTAGATTAACAATTTCAAAATTAATTTTGGAAAATCATCAGAGGCAACAATTTATATCGTAATAAGAAAATAAAGATTGCAAATCTTTTCGTCTGTTCTTTGTGAAACGACGTTTTGATTGTTTTGCATTTTTCAAATGCGTTTTCAAAAGTTTAACATTATAACTTATTTCAACAAATTTCACAACTAATGTTCTCTTGCCAAACCGAATTAATTTGCAAGTTATTTATGTCCAAGGTTAAAAATAGAATCAGTCTCGGAAGACAACTAATGTGTGTTTGACAAGGGTCTGCTAGGAGCGAGACAGTCGGTCATGAATATGAAGCATCTGCGCGGACATTGGGCGTTCGATTTGATTGATATGCGGCGAATGAATCGTAAGAGGGCGAATTGCAAAAGAGCATCTCTCGCTCCTACTTTGACTGAATAAAATGCGCACGACTCGCCCGCCGAGCCGAGGTTCGTTCGCTTCAGGTGCAGTCGCGAGAATAATGAACTTGGTCGGCTCTGCCAACACGGCGACTCGGCCATCAAATAAATTGCGAGATAAATAAATGTAAGCGGCGTTTTGCGTCTCACAGCTGCGATCAGGAATTATTACGTTGCTCGCTCGCGCGATTGATGCTTTCGATTTGCAGCGCGGACACCTTCCGACTTGTTATATGCTTTAACTTTAATGCGCGTTAATGACAACACTTTATTAATCAAACATCAAATTGATTGAATGAAATATGAATACAAAATCATAACGCAAGTTTATATAGAGATTTGCACTTAGTGATTTAATTCCATTTACTCTGATTCTGAAAAAAGTTGGAAGGAAAATTACATAGAAAATCAACATCAAAATTTACATTCTCCAGGCCACTTATGCTGCTATTTTACCTCAATTTCTGGGTTTTAATTAAGTTTTAAATATTTATAGACACAAAAAGATAATATTGGTATGTATTCCATATTTTGGAGCCGTTTTTTCTCACACATTTTTACACATAAAAACCTTTTAAAAATCAAAACAAAACAATCAGGATTTCATTTACTGTTTGAATTTCACTTTCAGCTGCATCAAAGTTTGAAAACTTTTACCCAGAAAAAAAGCGTGATTGTTTTCTCTCAATAAAATATATATTTTGGAAGGAGATTTTTTGCAGCATATTTACACAAAATTGTACAATTTGGGCGGCTAAAAAATTTTCAACTAGTTGTTGCAATTTATGTGTGATGAGGTTGATTATATTCTGAGAAATAGATTTATCGCCAAAAATTGTAAGGATTAGTGTGAAAATCAAGTGCTAAACTATAAATTACACTAACACAGATTTGCGTTGGAAAATGATTTATTTTGCAGGGGTAAAACTGTAATTTATTTCAATAAAAAAGTATATATCTCTTTTTAAAACAGCAATCTTTTCAAAATCAGCAACAATTGTTAAATTATTCATGATTTAATATCCAACAATTGTGGTGGAACATCTTGATTTTCGATTTCCCATTCAGCGATCAATCAGTATACAAGAACCTTTTCATTGTCATTCAATGCTTCAATGTCGATATTATTTTAAAACATCCGACTCGCCAGATATAAAAGAGCACGAAGGCGAACGGGGTCTGTGTTTGCCTTCGATGCAAATCACACACGGCACAAACACGACACTAATGACTCTTTGCATTTCGCTTATCGACTCGGGAAATCGAATTGCCCGTACACATTTATTCCGATAGGTCGATTACATAAATTCGAGCGTTTTGTAATTTTTAATATGAAAAACCGAGAGAGAGCGAGAGCCGAGTGCAAAAGTCAATGCTCTTTCTTTTCGCTGCGTGCGCGGCCGCCTTGATCTTGCTTTGTCCGCTGCTGGCCTTCACCTTTCCCGGTTTGCTGCACCGCGCTCTCGGCTTGCATCACGCGGCAATACAAATATTACCGAGAACATTATACGAGGTCCTCTCATGCCTTTTCCGCAGCGCAAAACGAGCAAAAAAATGCAGCACTGAGACTGCATGATAAATCGCAGGCGTTGCGCAGCACTACAACTTACTTCTTGGGACTCGAGTTGCTCAACATTGTAGCAATTGCGGCAGGATGAGGTGCAGAGCAAAAACCGCAAAACAAAATCATTGCTAATCAGCACCGAGATTTAAACTTGAAATAATCAACTTGCATTTTCTTTCGTTCTGCAAAACAAGTATCTTCTGTTTAGTTTCGCAAAGTTTTAATGAAAAGCAGCTGAAAAATATTTTCCGGTTTTGAGCTGAGGAAAACCATTCAGATCCTGTGGTTCTGAAAGTCAGGATTTAGGTCTTATCAAAATAAATGCAAATATCATTAATTTATTTATTAAAAAATACGGAAAATAAATAACTAAAAGAAAAATTCTTGCGAGTAGTGATGCCATTTTTTTTTTTAAATAAATTGTTCTCAACAATTGAGTGCAAAAAACAACTAAAAAATTTATTTTCTAACAACGTGGAAAAATAAACAACAATGATAAAAAATAAATAACATATCAAGAAAAAGATAAAATAAGGATTCAATTCATTACAAACATTCATAGAAACATTTACGCTAAAAAAATTGACTACGGTCTACAAATTTGTTTGTTTAATTTTTATCTTATTTTATTTCCAAACAGTGTAAAATTACAATAACAAATCTATTTGGTAATGCTGCTTGATTTTTTGCTATTGAGATTTCAATACTCAATTTTGTGAGGTATATTCTGTAATTTACTCTTCAGTTTTTATTTGTTAAAAAACTGTTAATTAACATTTTTCAATAATTTTAGTACACATCATTAATATTTTCAATGAAATTTTTCGCTTTTCTTTCTCTCTAAACTTTCATGTCGTACAAAAAAATGTGTTGCGTGTTTATGAAGCCACAATTCAATTATTTTGCCAAAATTCAAATTCACAATTCAGTTGAATAGAAGAGAAGAGTATTTCGAGCAGCAAACTTCATCGAAAATGCAAACCAAATTTAATCTCTTTGAGTGTTTGCCGCAGCCACGCTCGTTCTCTATGATAATGGCTGTATGCAAATCAGCAAGGAGATTTGAACGCTCGGTTTTGCTAGGCACTCGAAATCGCATCTATTATTTCTGCACAGCTTGCCCAGAATGTACCATTTTTTTAAAATTTGAGAAGAGGATAAAATCTGATTAAATCCACATTCGATATTCGGGAAAATTTTGTTCGGTGGGAATCCATCGAGCACATTGAGTAACTAAAATTGCTACATACACAATTTATTTAGCCCAAAAATCAGAAAAAAAAGTGATTTCAAAATATTTTTAAAATTTTTAGTAAAAACCGCTAAAAAAGTTGAATTATCTGTATGTGGTGGTGAAACGAGTTCGCTTTCGTCGCGATTCCCTTTCGGTCGCGAGCGAGTTGGGCCCGCGGCCATGCGCCTATCCTGTGCGTGCATTTTTTTCTTTGTAAAAAAATGACCGCGTGCGTGATGACCCCGTAAGGTTCACCAGGGGTTTTTAACCTTTGACACTCACCTGTCTGAACTCTCGGAGCTGTCGTATCGGTCGCCGCAGCACCTCTTCTTGGGCTCGCCGCCACCGTTGTCATCGTCCTCGCCGTCCCTGGCCTCTTCGGCCGCCGCTCCATCAAACACCAGCCCCTCGTCAGCCAGGTAGGCGAGGGGGCGGCAAACCGCCCCCGCAACTTTGGTCATCGTGGCTGCCACTGTTGCGTCGACCGCTCGGCGGGCGCGACTTTTCTCAGCAATCGTCGCTTTTTCGGCAGATAACCTAGCCGCCGCCGTGCCGAGCGATTCGCGCACCTCTGCCATCTTGAAACAGCAGCAGCCGCACCACCACCGTGACGTCACACTCAAAACACAATACAGATGATGGTAAAAATGTTTCAACAAACTCGGCGCGCCAACGTCAGAGGGCAGCACCGCCGCGCGAACGTGAACTTGAAAAATTCCTCGGTCGAGGTCACCCACTTGCAAAACTTCAAAACTGAAACTCTTTATTGAAATCTGCCTTTCAGGTCTTGTTTGTAGCCTTTCAACACATCATCTTCTTATAATAAAATTTTTAAATTTCAAAAATTTTTCTAAATACTCAATATAAAAATATGTACTCTGCTCTATTTATATAAAATGAACAAATTAGCCATTCATTTCTTAAAAATCAACGTAGTGAGAGGAAATTGTAGCAAATATCATAAATATAGATTATATCAACAAATTGTAATTATAATAATTATGTACGTTGTACGTAGTAATAATAAATTTTAGTCTGGAAAAATTTCCTAGTTTTTAATTTGTCAATAGATGGCAGCACTAGTTTACTTGGTAACTCGTGAGCCATCTAGCGGTGCTGTTGAGAACTTTGTGCGGGCGTAAAATTGACATTTCGTCGTACAGCTCGATTTTGCAGTGGGTTCGGCCGGAGCAGTGCAGAAATTTGCGCTCGTCGCGGTGTTATGGACTTGTAGCCGCGTTGAGTGAGCGCAGCAGCAACCATGAGCGTCGGCGGCAGGATGCAGAGCGGCCTGAGCAAGCTCAAGAAGAAGCACTTCAGGGTTAAGCACCAGAAAGTGAAGCTCTTCCGCGCCAGCGAGCCGCTGCTCTCCGTATTCATGTGGGGGGTCAACCACACGGTGAGCCCCTTAATCAGACAGACGTCCCACTGCGCCCTCGAGGGCCTCCCTGTCTACCTCCAACCCTCCCAGGGTCGCTAACCTTGCGTTTGACCCCATCCTGGTGCCCGTCTTCTGAGAGACCCACCCCTTGCATTGTCCGTCAAAAGCCGCTGCAAACGCGACGTTATCGCTCACAATTGTGTTTATTTGGCTTTCGGTCCCGTCATGATAATCCTGCTCCGCTGCTCGTTTTAATTACTTCGCGCAGAGTTTGAGGAAAGTTAAATGTTTGCGGAATGACTCGAGTCCTTATTTGCGTATTAGAGGAGTCGGTAGCGGTGGGGGCGTTTATTCCTGTTATTAATGGAAAGGAAATGAAGTCACATTTTTTTTTCTTCATATTTTTCAATACAGCATTAGTTTTTTCTTGACACATTTTATTTTTTATTTTATTTCATTTTAGATCAATGAGCTTAGCCATGTGAACATCCCAGTGATGCTGCTACCTGACGACTTCAAAGCCCACTCCAAACTGAAAGTGGACTACCACCTTTTCAACAAGTAGCCAAAGTCACACTCACCAATAGCACTATTTTAATCCAATATTTTCTCTCCACAGGGAAAATATGCCAAGCCACTTTAAGTTCAAAGAGTACTGTCCGCTGGTGTTTCGCAATTTGAGAGAAAGATTCGGCATTGACGATTTGGACTACAAGGAGTCTCTAACTAGGTCTGTTTGATGTATATAGATTCTGTCTGCTTCTCGGCTGACACCTCCTGCTTCTTTGCAGATCTCAACCCCTACCTGTAGATTCGCCTGGCAAAAGCGGCGCCAAATTCTATCAGTCGTATGACCGGCTGTTCATAATCAAGACGCTGACCAGTGAAGAAGTTGAGCGCATGCACTCGTTCCTCAAAGACTATCACCCAGTATGGCAAACATCAAAGGCTCTGTTTTCTCTATGATCATTTTTCTTCTTCCAGTATATAGTTGAGAGGCATGGCAAAACTCTGCTGCCCCAGTACCTAGCCATGTTCCGTCTGACGGTGGATGGCGTCGAGCACTACTTTGTTGTGATGAGAAATGTTTTCAGCAACCATCTTCGGACTCACAGGTTGGATTGGTTTCTACCATTTTTTGTGAGTGTTTGTAATGAAAATGAATTTGCAGGAAGTTTGATCTAAAGGGATCCACTGTAGACCGAGAGGCGTCCGACAAGGAGAAGGAAAAGGATTTGCCGACTCTGAAGGACAATGACTTTGTCAAGGAGGGCATGAAGATTTACATTGGCGAGGAGGCCAAAGAAAAGCTTATCGAAACCCTCAACGCTGATGTTGGGGTGAGTGATTTATTGCAAAATGCTTATTTATCTATTTTGCAAAAGCAAATTCATGTTGAGAGGTTGCTTCTTAGTAAGTAGCACAATTAGATAAATTTTCCTTGCGCAAGAAGTTTCCTCAAAGTTTATTCGTTGTTTCTGAATATAAATGTAATAAGGCGTGCTAAACAATATTTTCATATAACTTTTCATATTAAAAAATAATTTATTTTGAGAATTAAATAATTATACAAAAATTGCATGCATTCTGTACATTAAGAATGGAAATCACGTTTTAAGTTTATTTTCTCCTTGTTATTATGTTGATTGAACACCTTGAAATTCAGTTGTTGAACTACAATTTTGATAATTGTTAAAAATCTTTCAAGTTTTCAGCTCCTTTGTTTAATCAGAGGATTCTTTTTAAATTGTAGTTCCTAACTAAGCTTCACCTGATGGACTACTCGCTGCTGCTGGGCGTTCATGATGTTGCCAGGGCAGAGGAGGAAAGAGCCACTGGCCAGGACGAGGCCGACAACCAGTTGGATGATGACGAAGACTCCAGCGGCTCTGGTGTGGACCAGCGGTGGGGTGGAGGCGCCTCAGGTGGAATCACCACGCCCCCAGACTCGCCACGGACCCTGGTCAGGGAGGCCTCCCTTCACGACGGCTGCATCATCCCCGAACTTGACATTTACGCCATCCCCTCTTCAGACGGTACATTTAAAATTCATTACAAACCTCATGCATGCTGCCACAAATTTAATGTTTATAAAGTATCTGTTCAAAGTGTCAACTCTGGTTGACCTTTTATGAAGACACTTATTAAAATCCAATATTTCATCCTTTTACAAAGTCAAAAATTCAGAGAATAAAATATATTTCAATAGTTATTGCATTGTACATTGAATTCATACTATTTCTTTTTATTAAATTGTTTTTCAGGAGTGGAGAGGAGAGAAATCTACTTTTTAGCCATCATCGATGTGTTGACCCACTACGGGGTCAAGAAGCAAGCGGCCAAGGCAGCCAAAACGGTCAAGTATGGTTCAAATGTGGAGGGCATCTCAACGTGCGACCCTGAGCAGTACGGCCGCCGCTTCATCGAGTTTCTCAGCAAAGCCATTGAGTAGTCAGTCACTCTTTTTTTATGCCACGCCCGCCCTCGTAGCGAACTTTCCTTTCGCAGATCTTACTTTAATTTAACACCCAATACTTACTCACTGACAAATGAAACAGAAAAAAACTAGGAACTATCATGGTTCGCTATTGTGCAACCAGAAAAATGCTAAACTCGAAACAACCCACCTCTTGTTCGATGTAAGACAATATTTCCAAAAGGTAAAAAATTGTATTCAATGTTGTTTAACAAGTACTTAAGCAGTTCATTTTGGCGTCTAGCAGCTTGAGGGAAGCACAAACGTCTGTGAAATCTTCTATCTAACTATCCTGTTTCTTCCGAAGCTCAATGTTCTTATCTTAACGCAATTCTCTGGGTCTACGTGTGCGGTTGATTGGTTTTAGCTATCTTGATCATTTTTGCTGTGACCTTTGCATTTTAAGGATAAAAAGAAAATTTTATGTAATGTATATCTTTGAGAGAGAAAATAAGGAAAGGGAATTTTTCCATTAGTTTATAATCAGACCTGGAATTCGATACACATGTGTGCTGCGAGCCAAGATTCGGGTCGATCGGTTCTCGCAGACTATGAACGTTCGCAAGTGAGAGTCGGTCGTGCATGTTTCCGTAACCCCGCCTGCTATACTCCGCCTAAATTATAATGATATACTCTATTCAAGACGAGTCGCGTAGTCACTGATATCGACATACTGCTGTTTATCGCGCATGATAAGAAAACCGCTTTTCCATTATTTCCCATCAATTACGTCAACCGCTTGCCTTAAAATCGACGAAGACTTAAAAATTTAATATCATAAAGACATTTGGAAATGAACTATGATTTTAACCCTTTTTGTAGATTTTTAATTACCAATATTTCTTTGCGAAGAACAAAGAATTTATGATCTTTTCTTTAAACTTAATGAACAATCAATTCTCAAATATATCCTGACCAGTTTTTTACACTTCTTGCGGCTTCATGTTCGTCCATGCCCATGCCAGGATAATGAATATATTATGTAACTTTGTCGGTAGAAACGCAGTAGTTGGACGCTTGTGTGCATGCTCGTGAAACCGCGTTGAGATTATCATAAAATTTCTAGCAAAACACACACACACACAGCAATAACAGCCCTATGTTTTTGTGCATTTTTCGATGGAGCGACGCGCATATATGGATCGATTCGAAAGTTTACTTTTGTAAAAAGAGATTTAGGAAAGAAGGATGTGTATCATACAACTAAATATATTATCCGTTGTTGATGATGAAAATGATTAAATATAACTCGCTGAAATATTATAATGTTTTATGGATCGTTTTTTCTGTGTAAATAAGGGAAATAATCGTTCATCGGCGTCTTTCGGCGCCGATGAGTAAAATTAACACACCCTTTCTTCGTGCAAGTTCTTTTTTACTTTCTATGATATACACCGGTCGTTTTACCTGTAATAAGGTAATGTGAAAAAATAATAATATGTATCTGTGCTTGTCGACAAAGATGAATCACACCCACTCACACTCTTGGAGGAAATAAACTGAGCAAACAAGGCTTGTTAGTTTGTAATTTGTACTATGATAATGAGAATCAGGAGAGGAAAAATATAAACTACATGCTTAATGGTACTATATGCGAAAATCACACACGCAAGCAAAGATGATGAGAAAAGAAACAATACTACATAAATATTATGCCGAGTCTATTGTGTAAAAGACCAGTGGTTACAACTCTTAACCATGATGTATGATGGTCTCTGATATTAAATAAATCAGTTAATTGATTTCATTTAACTAACCGCTTTTTACTTGAAACTCCAGAAATAAAAAAGAATTGTATTTTTAAAAATCAAATTTATTTGCAGCAGAATGTACAAAAATGGTACAAAAGGCGCCTTAGCGAACACAGCTCGCGCTTCTAGCAACTTTGATTGGTGCCGTTTTGTGCAGTAAAAAATTAATCTTCAACCATCCCTCAACCCATCAATCAAAATACCCAACAGTCTCTAACGTCACTCCTTTGCAAGTGCAGCAGTGCTTGAGTTTGAATAGGCGATTGACAGATTATTTGCCATAACTGCTCACTCCATATCCAGCGCCTGTCAACTGGCCGCCCCCGTAACCCAGTCCTCCCAATTTACCTGCTCCAAATCCCAGTCCGCCCCCGTAACCGGCGCCTGAACCCACGCCGCCCCCGAATCTACCAATGCCCAATCCCAGTCCGTAGTTACCCCCGAGACCCCCAGCCCGGCCAACTCCTAAACCACCCCCATAGCCGAGTCCAGCGCCTCCTCTGAGGCTCAATCCTCCGGCGGCACCTCCGATGCCCCCGATTCCAGCAGCACCATAACCCAGGCCTCCGGCAGCGCCGCCAATTCCTCCGTAACCCAAACCTCCAGCGGCACCACCGATTCCTCCGTAGCCCAAGTTAGCACCTCCCACGTTTTGGTAGCCCAAACCGGCCCCTCCGTAACCAAGACCGGCGCCTCCGGCATATCCTAGTCCTGCTCCTCCATAGCCCAGGCCTGCAGCTCCGTAGCCAGGTCCAGCGCCTCCATAGCCTCCTCCGACGGTGTTCCCTGCGGTGTAGCCAACGCCGTGCTTGGACTGGCCTCCAAATCCAGCTTGAGTGCCAAATTTGTTGTCCTTGTTGTAACCTCCAGTGTTACCAAAGCCAACTTGGCTGCCAGAGTAACCTTAAACAGATACAAAATAATCTTGTTGATTTTTTTTTTAAATATAAAAATGTCTCACCTTCCTGTCCGAGCTGTCCCTTGTGGCCCTTCTGGTCTTCGAAGTTGTGCCCGTTGTTGTAGTGACCCTCCTTGCCGACCTTGGAGCCCTGCAGTCCAGAGTTTTGGTATCCGCCTCCGAGTTTCTCACCCTTCTGGTTGCCAAAGAACTCCTCGTGGCCCTTGTTGGAGAAGTGCTCGCCGCCGTCGTGCGACTCGTCGTAGAAAGTGGTGCTCTTGCCGCTCTCCTCCTTGTGGTGCGAGTTCTCAAAGCCCTCCTTTTTGAAGCCCTTCTTGTGGCTGCCCTTGTTGTTAAGTCCGGCCGCCTGCTGGCCGCCGGCCTTGTAGTTGGAGCCGCCGCCGTACTGTCGTCCTTCGTCGTACTTCTTGCTGGCGCCGTTTGTGTCTCCGTAAAAGCCCTGCTCCTGTTTGCTGTCCAGTTTGGCGCCAACGTTGCGGTCGTATCCGCTCAGTCTGCAAATAAAGAAATAAATAAAAATTAAAAAAATAAAATGCCGTGAAAATTCCTTATATTTTATTTGCTATACGAATTGCTCGTGCGGAAACGCAAAGACCTTGCCTATTATTGGCGCTGCGGAAAAACACAATAATTGACCTAGAGCACCAAAGAGAGCGAGGCGAATTGGTGCTTTTTGCATTTAGCTCTGCAGCGTGCCACTAGTGTTAATAAAATTGTCATAGGCATGAAATAGTTTATTGTCCTTTTCTATAAGCTTCTGTGAAGAGATATTAAAATGAAATTGATTACTGAATATTTATTTTTAACACTTTAATCGCCTTTAATATTTAAAATTTAATTTTGTCCAGGTTTTTTTACTTTTTTAATTTTAATACCAGTGAAACATTTTTTTTAAATTAGAGAAATGGCAGCTTTTCTTTAATTAATATTTTTTAAATAAATAATTAGTTTTTAAATGAATGCTTACCCTTTGTAGCCTTTTTCCGCCTGCTGACCACCCTTTTCAAAGAACGCCTTGTCAAACTCGCCACCAGCACCGCCCTGGTACTTGTTGGCATTTCCAAATTGCTCTTCGTATCCGTCCTGGTAGCCCTTCTTGAAGCCGAGACCACCAAATCCTGAGGGATCGGCGGCCACTAGGGCGGCAAGCGCCAGCAGACCTGCGAGTACCCTGATGCTGCTCATGCTGCTTGGTGTCGGCGAATGATGCCTTCCAACTCAGTGGTCGCACTATTTAAACCTGCGACCACCTTTTTGATTAGATAGGGTCGCATATGGACGCGCGGGCGGCGCGCGACCTTTCACGTCAATTTGACGCGGCGATGTGCGACGCCGCGCGCATTGTCTCTGCTGAAAGCAGGGAAACAAGGAATTATTAAGTCGGGCCGATTTTCTCGTCTATAAGGAGCTGGTGCGTGCGATTTTTGTTGAGTAACTCGATTTGCGACTCTTTTTACTTTCCGAAGCACTCGAACGGAACGAAATCTAGGACAGAATAGCTAATAAGTGCTGTAAGTAAAATGGCAAAAAGAAGAAACACAATTCAAGATGAATTTTTTAATTTGAAATAATTGTTGAGGAAAAAAATGATTTTTGGCCAAAATAAAATTATGATTAAAATTTCATTAAATTCATTTTCAATTAATAAAATCAAATCAAAATCAAATTTGATACCCCTTTATCTTTATGTATGGATGTTAAATGAAGGTATATTACATAATATTTAAAAGATCAGTAGACTGGAGTAATTTCTGGCTATTATTTCATACAAGATCAAAATTTGCAACTTCTTATTCACTATTATATGTACAAGTCACTATCTTTTTTAAGTCCGTCTGTGATATTAAATCATTGTTTTCAATAACTCTAGAGATGCATTTTTTACAGTTATATGGTGCAACTTGATAACACGTGTTCCTTTTCATTCAAGTGCGTCAAAAAAGATGCATGTGTTGTCGCACATTGAGCTGTGCACCCTCTAGATTTTGGCTGCTCAGCTGAAAGAAGTCGACCGCGCGCTGACAAATATTCCACATGTGGAAGCGTTTATCCCATTTCTCTATTAGTTTCTTTTCACGCGAGAGAGAGCGAACGAGCTGGAAACTAATTTCCTTCTACTTAAAATAGACTTCGCGCCTCATTTATCTTGTTGTTGTGCAAACACCGAAAATTGCCCTTGAACATCATTCTTCCGGAGATTTTTCACTTTAATTTCTTTATTTGTAATGTTAAAAAAGTCGAGAGAAGGAAATACAGTAGTTATATAAACCAAAATTAATAAAGCTTATTAATAATTAAAAAACGGCAGCATTCTTAAAAAGGTAATTTTTCGTTATTTAATTTTTTTTTATTAACTCGTTTTTGGTAAAAAAAAAAGTTGAAAAAATTTGTTTTTGTCAACTGCTTGAATTTTTTTATTAAAATAATATCTAGCTTTTTCCTTCGTCAGTTTAAAAAAGGTTTTTCAAAAGTTTTTGATTGATTTTACACAGTAAAAATTAAGGTTTTAAGTATTTATTGAAATGCAAATAAAAGGTAATGAATTTAAAAAATTTTAATAGTTTTTCCATGGGAAATATTTTTCTGAAGGTTGCTTCAAAGACTTGATTTCTCCATTTCGCCCCATAAGAGGACTTTTTTTATGATTTTTTGGACCACGCTGAGCGAGTCTGGTGGAACAGCGAGTGCGGCTGTGTTTGCGTTTTATTTGCTCTGTGTGTGCGTGCAATGTGTTGGCCATATAAAGTCATAATGTCGCCTCACGCTGATGGCAATTTCCTCCCCGAAAAACGTCAGCGTGAGAACAGATACATGTCAGCGTGGCCCCGCACTGTTTCTCCACCAGAAAACAAACACTGGAAATGAGCATAAGCCGCTCGAAAAGCCTAAAAACAAAACTTGTTACTGTAATGCGCGTGAGGCGAAAGAACAAAAAATTGAGTCAAGTTTAAGGAAAAACTCTGGCGCAAACGATTTTCTCCGCTTCTTTCGCTGATTACTCCATAGAATTATCAATCGCGCATTGTTCGTATGGTTTGTATTTTCAAAGGTCACGCAAAAACACACACAGTGCGCTCGGTGCTAAAACCGGGCGAGGCGAATTAATTAATTAGCGGGTTGCGTGCAGCCCCGCTGACTTTCGGCTGCTGATCCTAATCAAATTTCGCTTGCACGCTTAATTTAGTTCAGTGTGATTTGGAATTTTTACGCAGTGCTTTGCATTTTAACATTTTTGTTCCGCTGTTGTGGCAAATTAGAGAGAAACGAAAACGAGCAAGCTCCTCCTTCTCGGCGGCGGAAAGAAAAAAATGTGTGTGCCAGGCTCTGTTTTCTTGAGCGGGTGGACTCGCAGACCGAGAGCACCGCTCCTCCAGACTGCACCCCCGCACCAAGACACACAACAGCCACTTGAGTCACACGAGACTTCTCAAAAATGCTGCACAGTGAACTTCTTGACGCCGAAAGACTTCCAAAAAAGGTTAAACGTTTTGAAAATATTAATTGAAAATACTGAAATACTTATAGCAATTTATTTATAGTTTTTAACGTTTTTCATTCAATTTGAAAGTTTTGCCACTCATTAAGAAAGAAAAGTTTGAGAGAAAAATAACTTAAAAATTCAAAAAATTCCTTTGTTATGAAATTAATGCCACGTTTATTTAGACGCGTAGAAAGAAAGATTTCTCCCATGACTTTCAAATAGACTTTGTGCGATTAGAATAGGGCACCAAATGCAATTTGAATTACTAATGCCTCGCGTCCTATTTGCGTTTTTGAAAAATAGAGTCGGTGTCAGCAACACTTCTGACGTCAACTTTTCAGCAGGCACGTGCGCCATTAAAAGATTGGCACTGCGGAAAAAATATTCCTGCTGGCCGATTTTGTATTCTAGAATTTTTTGTTTTCCGCGATAGCATGCGGTGCGGGGCCGGTTGGAGCGAAAAGAGCAACCAAGTTGTTGTAGATTCGTTTGGCATGCAAATTGCAGTACGGCAGCACGCGCCGCGCAACTCTAGTTATCAGGCGCCGATTTGAATTTCAAAGCACAACAAAACCGTGTTACGGATTAATTTCCTAGCTATAGTGCCATTAGAATATTAATAGCGTGAGAGCGACAAAAAGGCTCAGCTATTCTGCTTCAAATGCAGACAAAGTGATAATCTTATTATACATTTTCCAACGGTCTGTCGTAGTAAAAATTTTAATTGCTTTTAATTAACAATAAAGATATTTTTTTTTATTATAATCGTGAAATTTCTTAAGGGTGGGGGACTGCAAAATTATTAAATTAAATTTATTGTCATTTTATTTTATTATTTAATCAAATTTTTGAGGTGTCATTTTAATTTTTTTTAAATGAATTTATGTAAGATGAATTTTTCAGGTTCCAGGTCACGCGCGCAAACTGAAACCGAACAAAGCGGCCAACAGCAAAATCTTGCGTCAGTCTATTCGGCATTATTTTGACGACGGACTCGAGACGAGTGAGTTTAGGACGGACGCCAACATCAGGGAGAGAATGAGAACACACAGGTAACACTAATTATTTTTGAAAATCTTCATTTTAACCCTCATTGTTTAAATTATTACTCACACCCTTACTTGGTATGCAGTGCCGTCGGCCAGCCATGCGCTGCAGTTTGCATACTTACCATTCTATTGAAGAAACTTTTTGTCTCATTTGATTATAAATATCACATTTTTTTTCTCTGCACAATTTTAAATTTGATTCTGTACAAAATTCCAAATCCTTGTTGTTTCATATGTTTTAATTTTTAATGCAAGAAATTGAGAACCTTGCACAGCATATAAGATAATTCACAACTCGTATTCATCAAGAATTTAGAATTTCGGCCCTAAGTAAATTCCGGTAAATTCAGTTGGAGAGTTGTCAGTGTAAAAAGGTTCTTGTGTGTGTTTTTTTTCCTTTCTATGAATGCGTCGGGCTTCACATTGGGTTTGTGTGTTTGGTGACCATATGTTGTGATTGCTCTGGCCGTGTACGAAAATTATCCGCCGCCTCGAGCGCACCCTCCCACGCGTGTTGTGTCCGCATGTGTGATGCAAACCAGCCCCAAGACCATTTCTCTTCCCGTCTATTATCTCTCAAAGAAAAAAGGGTCGTTTACCCTCCGCATCTGCCAAGCAGGGAGGCAAAAGATGAAAGATGGAAAGTTTGCGGCTCAATTTCGGGGGGCGGATGTTTGGCTTTGGCGATAAATTTGCCCTATGATTGTCTGTTCCAAAGCTTTGATTGCACTAAAAAATATATGTTTATTGTAGAAATGAAAATATTGTTCCGCAAATATTTATGCTCGAACTTGGATCTGCAAAAATGATTGTATTCAATATTTCCGCGTTATTCATTGTTTTTAACAGTATTTGTCTAATTACGCGTAGTGAAAAAATAAAAAAAAATCGCGCGTCTAGATAACGGACACATGTTGAGCGTGAAGTCCCGAAATATAAGTGAATTAAGTTTTTGCCGAATGAGTCACTCGGTTGGCTCCTTTCATTCAATTATGACTTTTTCAAATGGTTCAAGACGCGCCTTGTTGTCTGGCGAGCGAAGCTGACATGCAGACCATGATGCAAAACACGTGTAATCCTTGCCTAAAAAGACGCCAAAAAATGAAGCATAAAATTAAATTTTTAATTTAGATTACAAAGCTTTTACTAAATTAAATTTTTATGATAATTTATGCTTTGCTTATTTATTTTATTAATTATGTGTGTTAAATTTTATGAAATTATTTCTTTAACTATATTTTGATATTTGATTTACAGCGTGAACAGTGCCATGAGCACATTGCGCACCCTTATTCCAACGGAACCAGCAAATCGGAAGCTCAGCAAAATTGAAATTCTCAGACTCGCTTGCAGTTACATTGCGCACCTCGACACCACCCTGGTTTATGGTACTTAAACATTATTTTTTTATTATTATTATTTCTATTTTAAATTCTATGCATGAAGATTTTTCTTTCTTTCTCCTCTTGAACATTTAAATTCATAAAATATAATTTAAAAATAATATTACAATAATTAGATCTTTTTTATTTTTAGGGAGGGAAGAGCACCCATGTCTTCTGCGTGGTGGGCAGGGCAACAATAATCCAGCGCAAGAACGCACTGTCTGCACTTTCTGCCTGGCCAACCTCAAACGAGCTGTATGTTGACAAAGAAAATTGTCACTATCATGAAACAAATTTTATTTTTTAGAGCAAAGCGGCGCGGCAGTGTTATTCACCAGACCTTCCAGCTGAGCAAAACCAGCTTTCTGAGAACGAACACTATGAAGAAGCGCAAAACGTTTGGGTCAACGGAGCTGATATTGATTACTAATAAGCTCAAAAGACTTAATTTTATAAAAAGTAGTTCCCACGTGCCTTTTTCTGGTTTGACAATGAGACCATAAATTTGTAAATAATTGATTCGTTATAGTTACTAAAATTTTGTTGTTAAAATATTAAAAAAAAAAAAAAAAACGGATATTTGAAGAAAAATTTCAATAAATTTAATTATGTACTGAATTAAACTGCATAATATATGAATAAGTTTCCTTCTATTTCTTCAAACAGTGTGCAAGCAATAAAATCTTAATTTTAGTGGTAAAATTTCGTTTTTCTTTTTATTTATTTTTTCCAGGAAAATTATTTTAAAAGATTTATTATTGTTATTTTAGGTTCACTTTCTCGTCTTTATTAAGCTTTATAGCGTTATATCTTTTGTCGAGTATTTGCGAATTAAATTTCTGACTGCATTTTAATTGATTGTAATCTATAAATCTATCAGCGCGATCCAGCGACTTGACATTTTTCAATTTAGTTTGGTTGGTACAGTGTTGGTTGTGTTGGTAGCCGAAGTTCGCCTTCACTTCACAAATCACAACACGTGTGTTTGTTTTGATCTGGATGAACTTGTTTTTCTTCTAAAGAGTTGAAATTTTCCAGATGCATTTTTCATTCTGAATTTTTACTTCAACTGGGTATCGTAGCTGCCGGATTTGAAACTCTAATTGCGTGTGAAAATTCTCCAGCATCTTGACTGTTCACGAGAAAGTTTGTTTGGGAAGTCGCAGCGATGAAAAACCTGAGGCTGCGTTTGGTGCGGGCTTTTGAAAGCCCAGAGCTGCCGAGTAGCCCCTGGTTTTGCGTAAAGTCGGACGGCGGTGCTCCTGTGCTATTTCTCTTGCACGGCAAAACGATCTTCAAGGTTGATTTGAACTCCGACAAGGTTTGATCAAGGAACAATAATTTAAATATCAATGAAAAATCGTATCTGTTTCTGCAGGTTATTGGAAAGTATGAGTTGGACGTGCCAGAGGATAGCGTCCAGGTTGTCGGAATCAGGTACACGTCTGTATGGGAAAAGCTTTTTGTGGCTCTTGCTGTCGGGGAAGTTGCTGCTCTTGAAAATGACGAGGTACACCATCATAAATTGATTGATTATAATAATAATTTATATATTTTTGAATCAGATCAGTTTTGTGGGATCAGTTGAAAGTGGGATTAAAGCAATGGAGTGGAGCCCGGACGAGAGCCTTGTTGTGCTAGTCACGGGAGTCGACAAGCTGATGATTCTGTCTGCCGACTTTGATCAAGTGGGTGAAGAAGTGGAGCTGAATCAAGATGGTTTTGGTGAAAGTAGAAGCTAATGATTTTATATATAATCCAGAGTCAATTAAATTTTGATAATTTTGCAGAGCAATTTGTCAATGTTGGTTGGGGCAAGAAAGAAACACAATTCCACGGCTCGGAGGGCAAAGCAGCTGCTCAGACTAAAGTCGTTGTGGAGGAAAAGGCAGCAAGTGACATGGACGACAGGGCTCCGAGAATCAAATGGAGAGGTGACGGCGCCTTGTTTGCAGTTTCTTACTTGAAAAATACCACAGGTACTTGCGATTATAATTTTTTGTAATGTTTTTTCAATTTTAATTTCTCTCCCAAGGAGCACGTCAGATTCGAATGTTCAACCGTGAGGGAATTCTGCAGTTCACAAGTGAACCAACAGTTGGCTTGGAACAAAGTTTAGACTGGAAGCTGTCTGGAGGTGTAATCGCCTCAACCATCACCCTACCTAACAAACAGGTGGTTGCATTCTTTGAAAAGAATGGTCTTCGGCACGGTGATTTCACACTTCCTTTTCAACCCAACCAAGTCATCGTAATAATTTCAAATTATTTAAAGTCCATTTTTAAATGTCTCCATTAGATTAAGGAGCTAAGTTGGAACTTGGACTCGACAATTTTGGCCATTTGGTGCTTCTTTCGGGACAGCGGCAAATCGTGTTTGCAATTGTGGGCATCATCGAACTACAACTGGCAGTTGAAGCAGAACCTCAATTTTCCGGCAGAAAAGCGCCTCCTCAATTTCTCCTGGGACAAGGAGCTTATTTACAAGTACAATCGCTATTTTATTTTTTAATTGATCATTGATAAAAACATATTTCAGTTTGCACGTGGTTCAGGAAGGCCCTGTTTATGTGGAGTATGTTTGGAAATGGGAAGTGGACCACAGTTGCGGTTTTGAACCAAGTGATTTAGCCAGCGTTGCTGTTATTGATGGGGGTAGGTTTTTTTTCAGTTAATTAACTTGCATTGATTTTGATAATTAGGAAATGTAAAAATGACAAATTTGAGAGAGGCTGTTGTTCCACCACCAATGTGCAGTTATTCATTGAAGCTGCAAAATTCGGTATCTTGCGTTGCATTCTCTCAGTTGACTGATTCGTCAAATGACATCTGCATCGTCACCTGTGAAAACAAGCTTGCCGTCTTCACCTTAAATGGTAAATCTAACTTTCATTATTATACCTAAAATTTGTTATTTCTGATTTTTAAGGACCTGATTTTAAATCCGAGTCGCTAAGTGTTGCATTAACAGATGATGGACTCGGCTTTTCCGAGTCTGGCTCAAAACTTCGTGTGAGCGGTTACTACCAGCTGGACTGGAATGAGAATCCCTTGAAGTTTGGAAATATCCCATGCAGTTTTCATCACTGGTTGTGGATTTCCTCTTCTGAGCTAGTATGTGTTGCGCCCGCTGGGAAAAGTTCCAGTGTTTTACTCAAAGCTCAACTTCAAAATGATTTGGCCAAAATAATGTGAGAATATTTAAGACACACTTAAAAATATTTTGATGATTTTGTCATAGATCGGCGGTAAATGCGCCAGGATTGGTAAAAGGAGTGAGTTTTCTGCCTGGAATTGGTGTCGTTGTTAACGTAGAAAGCGAGTCTCTAAAATTATGGAACTTGGAAAGCAATACGCTGGATGAATTTTCAACCAATACACAAATTCAGTTTAAGAATTTCTATTCTTGCGTTCAGGTAGAGTAAAATTGAAAGTTAGAAGTGCTTTTTATCACAATTTTTACTCATTTGCAGTTCAACATTGTTCAAGTTGAAAGTGAAACTCATGTGATTGGCAGAAGTCTGCTCGGACAGCTATATGTGGACAGTGTGGATGTAATGAAGAATTGTTCATCTTATTTCATTCACTCGGATTTCATCCTCATTACAACTTCTGAAAATAAACTCCTTTGCATTCCACGGACTAAAAATGGAATAGGTAATGCTGGATATAAGAAAAAAAAAACAAGTCAAAATGTCAAATTTATACAACAATTATTTGTATTCTAGAATCTTTGTTGAAGAGAAGCAAACTCGGAATTGATGGAACAGAGCGGCAAATTGAGCATGGTGCAGTTCTAGTAGCTGCTGTTGCTAATGATACGAGAGTTGTGCTACAAATGCCAAGAGGCAACTTGGAAGCTGTGCAACCAAGGGCACTTGCAATTTTCATTGTCAAGAAACTCCTGGACAAGTACGTGACTAATTTAGAAGTGATGTGATCAGGCTTAATTTTTGTTTTTAGCAAAAAGTATTTTGAAGCTTTTGATATTATGAGGAAGCAAAGAATCAACCTGAATCTGATTTATGACCACAATCCAGCCTTGTTCCTTGGCAACATCAAAGAGTTTGTTCAACAGATAAAAAATCAAAACTGGCTGTGTCTCTTTCTTGCAGACTTGATGTAAGTTAAAAAAATACAAATTAAATTTCTAATTTATGCAGAAAATAATTTCAGGGAAATGGATGTTACCGAAAGCATGTATGCCGGACACTACCCCAACAAAAGAGAATTTGCACTTCCAGCAAACTCCACCAAGCTAGACTTCATTTGCACAAAAATGAGAGAGGTGAGAGCTTTGAAGAGATAACAATTATTTTCATACAATTGAAATTTTGCAGAACTTGGTAGAAGTTGACAAAGACGGTCTTGTGCTGCCTGTGATCACAACATTTATCAAAGAGACGTCTTCAAACATTGGTGCGGCTCTTCAGTGCATCAACAAGATTAAAAGTATCCATTATCTTTCTATAGTTTTGCAATAATTTTCTAACAAAATACATCAAGTGGAGGAGCAATCTGGCAAAAAACTCCCTGTTTCGAGTGATGAGGCTTTGAACTATTTGTTCTACATTGTTGACGTCTATGAGCTTTTTGATGTCGCACTTGGCCTCTACGATTTTGAACTGGTCATGCTTGTTGCCCAAAAGTCTCAAAAAGTAAAATTATTATTATTATTATTTTGAATAAGTTTTAGTAATAAAATCACTGCTTTGTAGGATCCTAAAGAATACATTCCATTCTTGAATGAACTTAGAAAGCTGGAGCCAGCTTATCGGAAATTTACAATAGACAAGCACTTGAAAAAGTACGAAGCAGCATTAACGCATTTGAAAGACTGCGGACCAGAGCATGACGATGAGTGCAGAAAATTCATTTTGGACCACAAACTGCACTCGGCAGCTCTTAAAACATTTAATACATCTCACCGTCTTTATCAGGTTTGTTAATAAGGCTTTAATGCTTAATTTTAATGCAATATTTCCCCCAAAATAATATTTGACCTGTTGTGAGAGAATAAACGAATTGAATTGAATTTAAATCATAAAAAACAATTCTGATCTATTTTAGGGGATCTGCCAAGAATACGGGTCTCAATTAGTATCTGAACAGCTTTATGAAGAAGCTGGTATTATTTTCCAACGAGCCCTATCACTCACAGAAGCAGTGGATGCTTTCAAAAAAGCTGGCTGCTGGAGGAGAATAATGCCAATTTTACCAAACCTAGGCTGGAGGTAACAACAAGAAATAACACCCAATCCATTATCTTCACTCGAAATTTTCAGCGAGAGCAAGCTAGCTTTGTTTTACGAAGAGCTGGCACATGACCTTCGAGAACGGAAGCAGTATCTTGACTCTGCCCTCGTTTTTGGTGATTATGTCAAGAAACCAGAGGAGAGGTTAATCTCCTTATGCAAGGCAAAAGCTTGGGATGAAGCCTGCAGAATCAAAAGTTCTGCTGACATCCAAGGAGCAGGTAAAGTGAAAAACTCATCTTTCAAATCTCGAATTTAAGATCTTTTTATATAGACGAGTTACTTCGGTTCGAGATCATGAACCATCACAGTTGTATGCTCAGTGACGTTGAAACAGCTCAGGAGCAGGTCACTCAATACACAAATAGATTGGTTGTCGTTAGGTCCGAGAAAGCAAAGAAAATTGAGGAAGGAGGTATTTTATCAAGATAATTAAATTTATAAAAACCAATATAATTGCTATATAATTGTAGATGATTTTGCCAACCTACCGGAATGTGACATGTTCTCAGACACAAGTAGCATTAGAGGCTCCACACAGTCGAGGAGTAGTGGAATGTCCTCAAGAGGCACAGGACGCACCTATCGATCAAGCAAAAACAAGAGGAAGCACGAGAGAAAACTGCTGAGCCTTAAAGAAGGCAGTCCTTATGAGGATTTAGCACTAGTGCGAGCTCTTCATGAACTATTCACTAAAATCTACACTTACAGAGGTAAAATCTGGAGCAAATAATTTAGAGACTATTCGAATGAAAATTTTATTGCAGAGGAAGTCAAGTGTCTTTGTGTGGCGCTTCTACAGCTCAACGTTGACTCGTTGGCTGTGCAATTGCAGAGCAAGCTCTCAGCTCTTTTGAAGGACATGGAGAGCAAAAAAAATGTAATTTGGATTCCTGAACTTGCACAAAACAGGGCTGCGGCACTTGCTGTAAGTGATTATTACAAATAATTTAACAAATCTATATTAAAATTTTTTTAAATCCTTTTAATTTGCTCAGGCTCTTGGTCCAGAGGGAACCTCAAATTCTTTATCAGCCCTCAGCCAAATAAACCCATTGGCGCTGACAGCTGCTGCGGAATTGGGTAAGTGGATTTAACCAGTCATCACTTGTACTTTAAACTCAAGTTAATCTCTCTCAGATCCACATCTTTGCTTGCCGCCTTTGATGCCTCATTCTTCGTGGAATTTGAAGATTTTGTTGTAACAAAAGTAAGTCACTTTTTCCTTTTTTATTTTATTGATACAAATAGTGAGGCTTTTAATAGTCGTACATAATTATAATCAGTCTCATTTCTTATTACACATTGTACTATAATCAGAATTAGGACATAAATATATCATTATCAGGGAATATGCGACCACTGCTTACTTTTTAGCCAAAAAGGGTCTGCGTTTGTCTGCGAGCTGAAAGAGCCGGTAATGCTTTTATGGCTTGAAGTTGATACAACCTCCAGTCTGGGTAGCACAAATTTGGCGTTAACAGCCTCGCGCGGTTTCCTGAGTGCCACAATTAACCACCAACAGCAAAGGGTGGAAAAGTATACAATGCACATTCCTGTGATACCGATCGCAATGCCAAGCAGCAAGCTCCAGAGTTCTGGGAAAGTGTTTCTATTTGAAGCACTCGATCCTGGAGGGGGTGGTGTGGTCACTGGAGGAGAAACTATGCTCACAGGGGTTGTTTCAAGAATTGTCGGTTTTGTATTTGCAAAAGGCGGAGAGGTTGATTGGGTTGTAGGAGATGAAGTGGTAGTTGGCTCAGGGGTTGTAGTTGTAGGTGCTTGAGTTGCTGTGGTTGGCAGAGGGCTGGTTTCCAAATTTGTAGTTGTAAGAGCTGATGTCGTTAGGGAAAGGGTGGTTTGCTGGGTTGTAGTTGTAGGAGGGGCCAAAGTGGTAGTTGTTGGGAGAGCGGTGGTTGGAAGGGTTGTAGGAGGAGAGGAAGGGGTGGTTGTCGGTGCAGGGGTTGTAGTTGGTGTAAGTTTTTCATCAGAAACACTGAACCATTGAATCGCAGTGTATTCAACACCTACACGTGTAGTCTGTGATGCAATTTCAACCTGCGACACAATTATGTCAATAGTCAAATCTTTTCAACGTTCAAAAGTGAACTCACCATGTAATTTCCTGGGAATTTAAGTCCACTGCTAGAAACTTGAATTGTCACTTCCTGCCAGCCAGGCACAATTGCTGATTGATCAAAAGTAATCGGTGGCTCCTGCCCGCCCTCTGTTACCAAGTAGACAACAATTTTGGATCTTGCATTTTGATTGAAATTATCTAGAGGCACAATTAAGAATTTAATTTGGATGGTGAAGTTGCTTTGCATTTCAATGGCTGTTGACATTCCCATGCAAGAGGGGATTCTTGGCTGCGACACCAGTACTTGTCCATTCTCCGTTGACTGATGGTTGGATGCGTCGTCGGTTGTCCACACTCCTGGGTTGCTAACCAAGTTACAGCTAGTTTTGATCCCTGCAGGGACTCCTGCGGACATGTCAAATAAAACGCCATTCTCTGCGTTTGCACCAAGCGTCCATAATACTGCTGCAACCAAAAGACTATACAGGTGCTTCATTTTCGCGCGGACAAATTTCATCAACTGCCTGACGCAGTAGATTCTCGGAGCAATTTATATCAACCCGGAGTGGATTGTAATTGTTCCTTTCGGATTAGCCTGATTCTTATCTTTGTGACGGTTTAGTTATGACGCACTTTTGGATGTTGAAGAAACACAATTCTTTAAAGTGCTGTCCATTTTCAGCAGCTCAATTAAAATTAAATAATAAAATCCCACAAATAAATTTTTGTTACACTTAAAAATTTTCCTCAATGTCTTTAGCAAGAAGTGCTATAAAGTTAATTGCGTTCAATCAAAAAATTGCAAATTTAATCATTACTGCGTTGTTATCTATTGAAAATTAGTGCTTTGGTGAGATCAAAGGGGATTACTCTATAGTCTCTTACGTCATCCCCGCTTTATAGCAGCGTAGATGTAGATCAGATTTACGCCTTCCGATTGATAGTTTTCCTATAACTGATAATTGATAAAAACAATTTCCTTGTGCCGCACGCGCAAATCAAAATTTCTTCAGCGTACCTGTAAGGTGATGAAATAAATTTCATAAATTTCATGACCAAAAGCAATAAAGTATGTCATGTGCCAGAAATTTTAATCCACTTGTTTTGACCAGAGTGTACGATGGTAATTCTCAGCTGCTTAGCTAATCACGTTTTAATTATTAATTAATTTGATGAATGTATGCTGGATTAACTAAGGGCCATTTTGCTTCAGCGGTAGGAGGAGTCCAAGTTCAAGGCAGTTGATATCATAGATTTTTATGACTTTTATTACAGAAAAAGCTCTGACATAACCCTTTGGGAATGGCTGTAAAGAAGCAGCGAATCGATTCTTTTCTGAGACTTTATTACCACCATTCGGCAATTAATTTCTTATCTTCTTTTCACCACAATATTGTTATTGCAATTTTTGCTTTGAAAATCCAAAACCGCCGCAGTAAACAAATACTGGAAGACCATATTCCCGCACTTAAAATCATAAAATGATATGCAGAAAGTAATATTATTTGCGTCTTTTTTTTTAAGTCAAGCAACCCTGAGTCCAGGCTCTGCCTTCTGTTTGTCAGTCAGCCGTTTGCCTTCCTTTATACTGACAGTAGCGTTATTTGGCGGTTTTTTAACAACGATTGGCTCCTTTCTGGGTCTGATCATGATTCTAGAGCTCATCAATGAGTAGGACGGCCCATGCCAGTCATACCAATACATGCCCTTGTACTCGTGCTCTTCTGGTAACTCGCCGTTCAGGTACATTCCGTTGAGATTACTGGAAACGCAAATAATTTTAGCTCTCGACTGTCATAAAGTAACGGGTACAAACCTAGTGTCGCACCCATTGTACCACCAAGCGCCTGAATGAGTGGCGGCGCAGTTTCCGTCCATCCACTGGTCGTTGTCCACGTCTCGCGTTGAAAACTTCATGCCGGCATGGTAACTTAGTGAGTCGCCTAATTTGTAATATTTATTTAAATAATAATAACTTATATTTGTTCTTGAATGGAACAAAATTAAATTTGACGACCTGCATCCCCTTCGTAACCGGCGAGGAAAGAGAGCGCGAAACCCTCGACCTCGGATCCAACTGCAAATGCCGAATACTGGGCAAAAGCCTTTTGATTGGTAAAATCCTGCAGTTCGACGACAAGCTCGTTCACCTGATCAAATTCCAATTAAAAGATAAGTTCTTCTTGCAATTGATGTACGGGAATTTCAGATAATTTAGGTTGTAAAGTAACAAGACTTGGGATTAAGTGTCATGCAATTGCTTGAAAAACATGATCGATAATTTTTGAGAGAGAAATGTCGTTATTGTTTGTGAGTTGGTGAATTTTGCTCAGGCCACGCCACAACTATATACGGGAATTGCAGATGATTAAAGTTGTAAAATAACAAGACTATGGATTAAGCGACCTCAATTACTTGAAAATATGATTGATTATTTTTTCAAGAGAGAAATTTCCTTATCGTTTGTGAGTTGGTGCATTTTATCCAGGCCAAGCCAAAACTCGCCGCCGATGTTTCCAAATCCATGTTTATAGTCCAGCCACTCGCGATAAAAGTTAACACTACCCTCGAAACGATTTTGAATCACCTGATTAGCAAACGTTGATGTAATAAAATTTGCGTTATGTAAAATAACTCACGTTCCATCCGCCTCCGCGGTCAACTAGTTCACAGAAAACAAAAAAGGGTCTCGGGGAAGTTGCCGGTTGAATCCGATAGATCCCTGAACTTTTAAAGCGACCCTCTTGCTTAATTTCTGCACAGTCAGTCGGGAGTGGGTCTTCTAAAATTCATTGTTAGAAAGAATTTTTCATGAATCTTTTTCATTTGCCTGAAGTTTTGGGCTGCTGAGCATGTTGGATTCCAGAACCAGTATTCAAAAGTTTTAGTTCGGTGACTGTCGAAGCAAAAGCTTGGCGGGTCAGCAAGTTAGTCTGGCCGCTTTGCAAACTCCTGAAATTGAAATTATTAAAAATGTGATTGAGCCTTTTTTAAATCTTTTATTTTTTATCTTGGTTGAAAGTAGGATTAATTATGTATTATCAGATTTGCTAACAAATCTTTTAAGCTTTTGTTTAAACCTGGTAAGGCCCGTCAGAGTTGTCACATTCTTCACAAGGTCTGCAGTTTTCTCAGTAAGGGATGACATTGACGCCTTAGTCCCAAGTACTGCGTTTGACAGCGTTTGTATCTTCTGCAGAATTTCGCCGCTTCCTTTCACCTTGACAGCATCTGCAAAAATTGAATTATAAGCAGTCTTTAAAGATTTCCATTTCGCTTACTCTGACCTGTGCTTGGCTGGGGGTTGGTTGCAAGCACGTTGAGAGCGTGTTTGTGCTCGTCCTGACCCTGGCGCAGCGTCTCCAGGGCCGAGTTCATTTGTCCAGCCTGCCAAGTGAGTTGCTGGGCGCTGCGGGACGCGTCCGAGAGCATTGTGCGAAGAGACTCGGCCCTTTCCTGTTCTTGCACTTCGAGACGGGTCAGTCGATAGTCGAGCGCTTCAAAACGACGGGCTTGCTCTTGGCCCAAAGTTTGCACTGCCGTCAGACGCTCGCTCACTCGCTGAAGGGTTGTCAGCACATCCAGCATGGCTCGACTGCCCCGGAGGCACTCGTCATTCAACTAGAAATAAATTTTCTATAACTTTCAATTTCCGTATTTTGTATTTTTATTTATTAATCATTATATCTTTATTTTTATTTAAAATACACATTGAAACTGAAATTTCCGGGCCATTTAGAATTAAATAATTATATTATTGAGAAAAACAATAAATTGTTATTAATAATTTTAAATTTTTATCTTCACTTTCAGAATAAAAAATTTACACACGTACGTCTGGTTTAATTTCAGGGGTTGGCGTAGTTAGCGTTGGCGATCCTCTAACCACTTGACTTCCATTTCTCACGCCAGGTCCAACCAAATTCTGTGGCTCCAGCGACCGGAAGTCCGTTTTGGGCCCACTAGGGCTCTCTGCACGGCCTTCAACGGCCACCAAAGCGCCCAAAGCCACGGCCACCGCAAAGACAAAACCACTTTGGAGGTTCATTTTGGGACAACTGGAACCACTTGAGTGGAAGAGAGCGCCAGTTTTTTATCCTTTCTCTAATTCCGATGAGTCACAAAACACGTGTTCTATTTTAATTTTTTGCTCCTCTGGTGGTTATGTAATTTGTTTCTGGTGTCTGGTAAAAGAATGAAAGCCTTGTTGGTTGTTCGTTTTTCAGCCAGCTGTTTGTTTGACTTATTATATTTTTTATTGCTTTGTATAAATTTACAAATAAATTAGAACAGGAAACAAATGTAACAAAAAATATAATTATTTTTTGTGGTTATCACAGCCTAAGTAGACTTATTTGGGGGTATTTTCGATTGTTGACTTAATCCAATCTGTGTAAAAGCTAACCCTTGAAAAGAGAAAGGGCAAGCTAACGCCGCTGATATCCATTCCACAGGGTGGAGGGTCTCCCGAGTTAATACCAAGCAGTAGTGGCCCATCAGAGTCACAAATTAATGGACTGCCCCAGTCTCCCTTTTAATAAAAATTTTATATTTTTATTTTTAAATTGCGCATTACAACTCACTGTACACGGCGTTGGGCCGTTAATCACTGAAGGCAGGGGGTTTACAACGCACTGAGTCTCTTCTGGCAGGGTGATGCTCAGAATCGAGTATGTGTTTTTACAGAGAAAGAACCCAAAAGTTTGGTATTCCTGCACCCTCACGTCAAGTGGAATGTCATTCAAGTATTCTTCAGAGCCCCACCCGCTCATATTGCACGTCAGTCCGAGCACACCTGGCTGAAAGTCCTGCGGCGGCAAATCAATTGCCGCGATTCGCTCGCCCAAGGGCAAATCGGTTGCTAGCTAAAAATTTGAAATGTGTTAAAGAATAATAGCATAATTATTAGGGTTTGAAGTTATCAACCCTGAGAAGAGCGATGTCCTTCAGAGGGAGTCTAGAGCCATCGTACTCAGGGTGGATCACAATCCTCTCCACTGAATTCAGTATACTGGTGGTTGTGTCGTCCAGTGCTACCGAGCCCGCCATTACAACAAATTTTTCGACGGGCCTCCTTTGTAATAAATTGATATTTAATTTTACTTAGTTCTACCCAAGGTGATAATTTATTACTCCCAGACGCAACGGGCGGCGGTGATGATCCATCTTTCGGAAAGAATGGCTCCTCCACAGATGTGACCGTAAAAGCTGAATTGAATGGACACCTAAAATTAATTTGATTCCATTAACATAAAATTTTTATCATAAATTTCATTTGGCGTCTACAATATTGCTAACCTGGTAAGGATGATCCTCAATGCTGACATTTTGGTCGCGACTGTTGGCGCCTAGAAAGAGCTGGTCAAGACTGGACACAATGGTGTCATCCCTGCCTGGATCAGCTCCAATTTGTCCGACCAAGGCAACTAGCAGAAATAATGTAAAAAACTTGTAAACGGCGAGCCTCATTTTTCGTTCAGTCTGCTGCCCACTGTAGTCTGATGATGATAATCATCTTATCTTGCGCGCCTTTGTCAACGTGTAAGCGCTGACAATACTCTTCATTGGTAAATTTGAGTCGCATTATCTCGAAGCTGAGGCATAGGCGTTATTGAATGTGATGATCATAAATATGTAGTTAGATAACTCGTTTTGCTTAAAAGGAAAAAATTGAAAAAAATTTAATTAAATGGCTGCAGTTTTATATTTTATAATATTTCACGAAGTTGTTTTAAGATACAAAAAATTAGAACCCAATGAGTATCAATTGGCAACAAAAAATTGTTTAATGAATTTTTGATTTTGTTTTACAACTTTAAATGAAAAAAATATTTGTTTAATTTTCTTTATAAATATCCAGATTAACATTTTTATTTACTGAATAATGGCAAAACAATTTTTTTAACGCAACAAGTTTTTTAATTGAATCACAGGTGAATAAATTAATTTTAAGGAGAAATTTCAACAAAAAATAGCAACAACAAATCTCGCGCCTGCAGAATTATATCATACCGTGCCGCATTGCATGACTGTTGAGCGGGTAGAGAACAATTAAGGCCACCAACAGGCTGCGCACAACTCTAATAGTATTAATTTAATGAACGGAGAGCCAGAAAGGTTCTACGATAATTTTTTTTAGTTTTAAAATTTGCTAATCTCAGGACTCACTCGTCTAATAGAACAAGAAATTTTCAACCTATAAGTAGGTCCTAAGATGGTTAGCTGAAGATCAGTAGCAGTAAAAATTGATTTCTAATTTTTCATAATTATTTTTGGATATTACATAGCAGTTAGAAAATCAAAGATTTTGAAGAAAAATAATGCAAGCCATAGATTAAAAATTTGCATTGAAATGATTTAGTTATGGTTTTTTTAAAGCTGAAGAGTCTCTTGGGGCACCGGGTCTCGTTTGACTCGTTGTCGCCCTACACATCTTTATAGGCGGCTTTGTTGTAGTTGCAGGAGTTTCAGTTGTTCTTGTCGGAAATGTAGTGGAGTTATTTAGCGGGGTTGAAGTTTGAGTATTGAAAGTGGTGGTAGTGGTTGTTGAAGAAATAAATGATGCCAAAGTAGTGGTTGTAGCATCTGTGATTTGAGGGTTTGTGTTTACATTATTTACAGTGGTGCTGGGGGTTGTGGTCAAAGTTGAGCCTGGAAGAGTCGCTGAAGGTATAGTTGCCGCAAGGTTTTCTTTGGAAAGGCTGAACCAACTGATCGCGAGATAATCAACGCCTCTCCTGGGTGAAAATATCTCGATCTAAAATTTATTTTGATTAATTAAAGAATTAAAAATTAATTTATAAGAGCTACGCACCGAGTGTTTCTTTGTGAAATCAACGCCATAGGGAAGTGGAATCCAAAGTTCCTGCCATCCTGGTACAATATCTAGTTGTGGGACGGGGAAAGGTCTCGACTGATCCTCAGTCACTAAAAATATATGAATTTTTCTTCTAGCACTAGGATCAAAGTTTGTTTGCGGCACAAAGAATTTGATCACGAAAGCAAAGTCACTCTTTATCATGATGGCTGTGGTCATCCGCAGGCAAGATTCTGTTGCCCTCTGCGATACTAGCACTTGTCCGTCTAGCGCGCCGCTCTCTCGAGTCTCGTAATTAGACGCTGCGTCGACCTTCCATTCTCCAGGATTGAAAGTTGGATGGCAAGATGTTTCGATGCCTGGCGGTACTCCTGAGGACATGTCGACCAAGACGCCCTGCTCTGCGTTAACTTTGTTAACACCAACCAACAATGTCACCGCAATCAAAAGGCTCTTCATCCTTATTTGTAAAAATTTTCTCTCAACTGACAGTTAAATTGCAAGTTTTGCGCAATTTATACACATCTGAAATGGCTGTAATGGACCGTAATAATTACTCTTGAATTATGTCTTGAATCTTATCTTTCTCACGACAGTTTGGTTTTGACGCACACGAAGAAGGTCAAATTGCTACAGCGACGGGTAAAGCAAGATTAACATATTAAGTATGGTAGAATTAAACCAATAAAATGAATTTAATCATTGGCCATATAATAATAACCAATAATTGCGGCAGTATTGAAAGTGATATTGGCTTATTAAACACTGTAAGAATCCTTATTAAATTAGCGCCTTGCAGACTTTAATTATTTTATGACGTCTGATTCACTTTTATGAATGACCAAAGAATCCGACACATAAATTGTATTTAATTTAAATTTGTGAGGTTATAATTTTCTTTCCTAATATTAATCCATCTAAAAAGAGTAACAATATTTGAGAAGAAAATTATCAATCTGAAAAAATAAGCCATTTAAATAATCTATTTTGGGTGTGGATTTTAGTAAATAACGCAGTCAGGAAATTAAAATCCGGCGCCTACAGTATTATCATTTCATACAACTGCTGTGCGGGTTGATCAACTCACACTTACACTCAATTCACTAAAAAGGAAGAGCCAGCAGGAAAAATTTAATTTACTTTGAAATAAAATTTTCAGCTAAAAATTCATTCTCAAACTTCTCATAATTATTTTGAATTTTGAAGCACAAACCTAACATAGAGAAGCTCATTGGACCGCTGGACTTTTTGCCACTAACCTTGGCGTCCTGCAATGCAACCACTGTCAATTGACTTTTTTTAGTCTCACGGAGAGACATGATCTTGCCCTCCGAAAACTTTAAACAGGGTATTAATAGAAAAATTTGACTTTGACTGCTTTAGTTGGTCGGCTTACTTGATCGATGGCAGATTGTCCGCCGCAATGAGCACACGCCGCACATGTGCTCCATAAATATGCAGCTGGAGATATTTCTTGTGATATGAATAATGCAAACTTGCGTGCAGTGTTTGAATCTGAACTGCACAAAATTAGGTCGTCCGGAGCAAACGTGACCTTGTTACATTAATTTTGTAAAAATGCTCCAGGGGAATGTTGAGTGAAAAAAATTAAATAACTTGCTGAAATAATTTTTATTTCCTATAAGACTTAAATGAAATGTACAAAATGTAGATAAAGAAAAAACATTAAATTATTAATAAATAAAATAAAATAATGTCTTACTTAAAAAAATTGATAGAGTAGATTATAGTGGATCTATTATTATTTTTAGTTTGTCTGTAAAATACATATTTTTATCAGGTTGTTAATTTAATTAAACCTTTGATGTGCAATCGAGTTTAAAATCATTCAATAGAAAGCAAAAGAAACTAATAAAACAAAAATTAATCAATATCATAAAAATTATCAACAATACAAAAATTAGTGCAGTTTCTTTTACAATAGTCCTTAAAGAAAAAACATTTTAATAAACATTTATTTAATGTTTAATATGAAAACTGAAAACTTTTGTTTAATCATATATTAAATCCAAGATTTTAATAAAAGAAAAAATCGTGAAATCACTTCCTTTCTCGTTACTTCTTATTTACCTTTCAACGGACATCAACGGCTTCATTTATTCTAGACATTTCCAGCGCAAAAGCAAACAGCAGAAGAGATTAAGGGTGGAAAGTACGCAGTGGCATACGTGTGCGACTGCATTGGCAAACAAAAACACTGCACTTTCAAATATTGACCAAACCTGTGCCCTTAATAGATAATATTAAAATTTCTCCGCTGCGCTGAAAGCAGATAATCTTCTTCAAAGCAGGCCAATAAGTAGAGACCTCAAAATAAAAGCGGAGCAGGCGCAAACAAAACTCTTGCAAAATTTCCACAATAATTTTTCCTAGAATTTTATTTGGTGGCTATTCAAAATTTACACTTTTGTCCCAAAGTGGAAATTATCTTGGCGCGTGTTCGAAATTGAGCAGCGCTGCCAAAAGCAACAAACCCCATTAGCGGCAGTTAGGCATTCCCAGAAGCGAATTTGCGCATCCTTGGCCCCAACAAGAGCAGCTGGAGCAGCTCAAGATGTCACCGCGGCCAAAAGTGGCCGCGCGCCAAGTGGCCGCATTTATTTGCTCTCAAAAATGTCGACACTTGCAAATGTTTGGGTAATTTGTCTTGCGGGGCGCTCACAATCGAGCGTGGACTCTTCCGTCCGACGAAAACGTTCAAGTGCGTCAGGCGGCTTGACGCAGAAAGAAGCACCGATCCAAGTGCTGTCAACTCCCCACGGACACATTTTTTGTTTATTGAACCCGCAGCTTTTGGAAATTACACTGACGTCGGCCGCTGACGAACGCATATATAACTCCTGCACGAACGCATATAACTGCACCAACGCACGATAGTGGCGAGCAAGCTGCTCACTTTTGATTATTGTTAACACACATATAATTATTGTAAACACGTCAGCAAATTTTTATTTCGTAATTTCAGAGAGAATCAAATTTCCGAATTGCTTCATCAATCAATTTTTAAATATTGTAAATAATAATTTAAATTCATTAATTTTGTTATTTATTTTTATAAAAACCTGTCTTGAGTTACGTAATATTTAAGTTATATAAGAATAATAATTTGTCTTTTAAAGTATGAGATTGATTATGAAATTTATTGAATCATAATAATGAATATCAAAATTTAAGACACAATTTTAAACTTCAAATTTTCATAGCTTACATTTAAAATTAATTTTATTTTCTTCAATCGATTCCGATTCATACAAACCGCATACAAACAAAAACGATTTTGTAAAAATTTTCAAGGTTTATATTAAAACTTCTGCTCTTAATTATTAATTTAAGTTGCACAAAATGCAAATGATTTGGTTTAAAATTAATTCTATTTTTCTCTTTTGTGGGATTGTGGATTAATCATAACATAAATAAATAACCAAAGAATTTAAAAGTCTATAACTAACAAAATTATAAGATTTTTCTTATATTTCGGTCTCATTTGAAGTAGATATGTGTAAATTTTAGCCATTTCACTAAAAGGGAAAAATAATATCTTTATATTATTTAATTTTTTTTAAATTAATTAACATCTAAGTTATTTTAAAATATGAAAATAAATCGCTAACCAATTTTACCTGACGGGACTTTCAAATGAAAAGAGCAAACTTCTGAGATTCTGGAAGCAAATAGAAATCAACGCTGAGATTGCGCACATTGCGAGTACTCGCGAACGACGCGCATCGCAGCGTGCGGTAATTGAATTTGCAGGGGAATTAGTGTTAGGTGATTAGTCGCTAATGCGTGCGTGGTAGGAAACATTCCTTAACATAATATTCCATTATTCATCCGCGGCGTGATTATCGCACATTGCAAAGCTACTTTAATTAAGAGATATAGACCAAGCAAGTGTGTGCCCAAGAATAAGCGTCGTTATCTTTGACGCAAGTACTTTTACAGTAGCTGCTCAAATATTAATTGAGCGTGCCTACTTACACACCGAGTGCGAACGCGTTTGCAAATATAGCTGCAGACCGAGGCAGATTAGCATTTAAGCGAGAATTGATCTGTTCTCGTGTCCGATCCAAATTTGGATCGCTTTTTGGCCACATGTGCATACAAAAGGGAGGGTTGCTTTAGGAGTCACGTCAAAACGCACGTGACTCGCACAAGATCACACCGTGCCCGCCGTCTTAATTGGAAACGAAAAGTGCAATCACGTTCTGGGCAGAAGCTCATCTGTGAAAATTAAAGCCACCTTAAAATATAGCACTGTGTCAATTTGGTCGTCCTTGCTTACAATTAAATGTGCGGAACTGAAAGAGCTTTATTAATTACGTTTTATTTTTAATTTTACATTTACAAAATGAATAAAAAATATTTGAAGTTTTTAAATTCTTATTTTGTAGCACTTTATCTTGTTCCTCACCTGTCACACAATATAATTTTAGGAAAGGAAAACTATTTTAAATTTTGTTTGACCAAAATTTTCATTAATTCTTAAATCCTCCCAATTAAAGCAAAATTCATATAATTATAATATTTAATTTTTAATATTTACCTTATAAAGATTTATGTTTACATTATAAATCTGCACTTTAAAATGAAACCGCTAATTTATTTAATTTTTATTTCAATGGATTTCTTATAGTTTTCGCCGCAATATCCATTTTACTGAAGTAATACTAGACAAAGGAAAATAAAATTTGAAGCGGGGAAGTCTAGGCAATCAATAGTAAAGTTATGAGTTATGGAAACAATAACGTTTTCTATCTCCTTTGTAAAACAGCAATTTCCCTTTTCCTCAAACTCAATCGGAATTTTAACGAGTTTATTTGCCTTCAAAAGGTGAAAGAAACAATAAAAAGCACAAATGGTCATGAAAAGCGGACTGCAAAAGCTGCCAACACAAACTAATTTGATCTGCGCGCCTGTCGATAAAATGAAAATATAAATATGCGACAAAACGGCAAATTGCAAAGTCAGCGGCTGCACGATAAATGCGCGCAAATGAGTCAGAAAGCGACCTTAGGTTATTCAGCGCGGCAGTTATTGTGAAAACTTATCATTTCCACGCAGCAGCAGCAGTCGCATTTGGCATTACAACGTGCCATTGGCAGAGTCATACAGGAACAGCGGGCGGTGCGCGATAGTGCGTGCAAAATATGAGGCGGATATTTCGCCTGCGGTGCTCTTTGCGAAAACGGAGCGCAGCGGATGACGCACGAGAGACCGACTGGGCGATTTATACTATTTTTGACGGAATTTCGTATCGCGATTTCAAATCAGGAAGCGGCGCCCCAATGACCACCCGCGCACCCGGCTGTCACCAACCAGCGCCAATTATTCATGCAAGCAAGGGAAATTTGCCATCAAACACGATAAATTTATTTGCGTCAGAGTTAACTCGGGAATTTCTTTTTAACGTTGGCCCCACATTTTTTAGGAAGTTGAATATTTTTGTTATTATTTAACAATTAAAATTACGGCGGAGTTTTTTTTATAATCAGGTTGAATTAGGAGCTATAAATATTTTGAGTTCTTTTAAATCAATTATAGAGACAGCTTGAAAATATTTTTCTTTTCATTAATTTCAATATATAATATTATTAATAAGACTAGATTTCTTTTAAGACTCAATTTGAGATTAACTTACTTTTCAATTTATTTTAAAGTATTTGAAATTTCAAGTTCATATATGAGAGAATTTTTTTAGTTTTTAAATCACTTTTAAATAAATAATATTTGAATTTAGCAACTATGTGTAGTAATCATGTGTTGCGTGATTGAAAATTGTTTTTCTTCTTTTCAATTTAATGAATAATATCAAACACCATTAACCCTAATTGTAAACATATTAATCAAGAAATTGAATCTTCAAAATTGTGCCTTCAAAATTACTTATTATAAAATATGAACATAGAAATCAACATACAAAAAATTTCTCCACTGAAATATTTAATTTAGATTTTAACAAAAATCATCAAAAACATTTGTTTGCACCAAAAATTGCTTTTAAAATAAATACAGCCATTTTTATTTGCCTATGCAAAAAAATATGTATACTCTATAAAATAGGCACAGAAATTTCCAAAGGACGTCAAATCCATCTGAAATATTTTCCTATTTATGTCATCTTGCTGATTCACTTGATTCCCGAGTTAACTTTTTGTTTGTTTGATCCGGTCGAAAAACTCTCGTGAGTGCACGTCATGCTTTAATAGTATATGAGTTACAGCAAAATTGTAGCAAGCGCATAATTCAACGTGGGTCTTCGGTCTATGACGTCAAACGCGTGTGAATCATGGAAAAATTGCTCTCTGGACTTTTCTTTCGCGATTTCTATTTTCATGCATCACGCAAGAGTTTATTCATTCCAACACCGTTTGTTCCCTTGACTCACCGAAAAACTTTTGTTTCGCTGCACCTGTCCGACTTAATTTTAGTCGCGATTTGGACGCGGAAATTTGCATGATTGCCAAGGTCGGTGCATCTGTTGCGGTGCATCAAGAGGCATTAGCTCGTCGACGGCACTTAATTGCCCCTGTCTGCTTATTGTCGGAATTATTAAGTGACGTGAAAAAGAAAATAAACGGCGCCAATGTACAACTTGGAGAGATTAATTTCGTCCAATTTGAATATTCATCAGTGTCGCGGTTGACTTTGCGTCACGCGGCGTCGGTATATATTTTTATATTGACAGCAGCGCCTTTGATGCAGACGTTTTACAATTGCGGTATAATTATAGAGTCGGCGAGATTATGGTCGCAGGAAATGCCCCGCAAGGTTCTTATGAAGAGACACGCGTATGCTATATAAAAGACGTCCTAGAGTAATAATTGTTTCAGACGAGAATAAAAACTTGCGTTTTAACGCTTAAATGGGAGCGCTTTTGTAAGATTCTTATCAGGAGAATTAAGTGTCAATGCTGTTTTGTAGCCGTGAAAGAATAACTATTGAGCCAGAACGTTGTTGATAAAAAAATATTTTCTTTTTTCTGCCATAAAACCAATTAAACAGTGTTTGTTATAAATTTTAAGTTATGCCCTGCGTTTTAATAACTTATATATAATTAAAAGAGAGAGGAATAGTAAAAAAAAAAAAAAAAATACAATGAGAAATTTAGATATTTTTAAATTATGACTTCATTGCTAATATCTTTAAAGAAGAATCAATGTGCAGAGGAAAAAAATCAGTGAAATTCAACAATTAGCTCTAAAATTGTCACTTTTTTTTGCTTAAAAACTTACATTTTTGTCTATTTATTTTTAGAACAAATAGCAATAATTTAAATAATTTAAATTATTACAAGGATTCAGTGGTGCTGCAGTCTAAATTTAGACAATTACTGAGCTAAGATAACATGCAAGGTATAAGCGATAATAAAATGATTGCTCGCTCTTAATCACCCAATTTGTTACATAAAATAGAAACTATCAGTCTTTTTTTCAAGATATATAACCCTTTACCGCCTTTACGTGACACACTTATAGGAATTATCGGAAAATGACTCATTTGGCCGTTTTAGCAAAGCGTGCGGAAAGAAAACAAATTCCCGTCAATTGCAAGAGAAGCTGGTGGTGAAAAGTATGTGTGCAAGTGACAGACAAGTGTACCCGTCTCGTCGTAATTTATTCCCTAACAAACAGCCAGCCATCGGGGAGAGTAGGGCCGGCTTGGCTGCCACAATCAGAGCATCGTCCAAGGCTCCGGACGCTGCGAATATCGCGGCCAGCGGCGGCAGGAGTTGAGTGGAGAGGCGCACGAATGACGTCAATGCTGGCGCGAGATGACAGCAAGGGCGAGAACCGGCCGACCAGTCCGTCTGCGACCTCCGGCGAAAGCGAAGCTCTTTGCGCTTGAAAGCGTCCGTCCGAGTTCGAAAAGGGTTCGAGTTTTATTTTTGCATCCTCATGATGGCGATGGCTGGCGAAACCCTGCAAGTGCACCAGCCGTTTCATAACGGAGCCGTTGACAGGTTTCACGGCAGTGTCCGGAATGCAGTCAACGAGCAGGAGAGCAAACAGTGCTATCTGAACAACAACTCGGTCGACTACGTTTTCCGAGTCAACAGCCTCAGGAGCAACAACTTGACCTTTGATCGGGCCAACCAGCAGCAGACCATCCGCATCCGAGTCAGCTCCATCGACGAGCCAGACGATTTGGACCAACAGACCGGCACACTGGCTTCTAAAACAGCGGTCAGTCTCTTTTTTATAATATTTCCGTTTACATATATATTTCTTTTACATTTTAGTACCCAAGTTAAAAATAATAATAACAGTTTCAAAATTGCCATTAATATTTTAAATTTGAAGCCATCATATATCGACTTAAAAATAAAACAAAAATAATTTATTATCAGCTATTATAACCGGCATTCAGGAAGGGAATAATTCCAATTGTTGGAAAATATACAATTAAAACTTGACACAACACATTTTTTCTAAACAATTTTCCTGCGCGCGTTCATTATTATCACCAGATTATCACCACTGAAAAATTGAAAAACTTGCAAGATGGAGCACAAAAAAAGATTTAAAAAAAATATCTAATTTAAAAAATGTATTTTGGACAAAAGGATATGGTATTTTTTGTCTATAAGTGACAAAAAAATTAAAAATCTGCTTTATGATCAATTTTTGCTTCTGGGCCACTGTTGAAAATTCTGGATCACCCTATTATTAATTAATAATACATCATTAAATAGAAAAAACTTCATAGAATTTTGCTCATGACTCCGACTTATATACCAATTATTTTCCGCAATGAAGTTTTTGCATGAAGAAATGACTCATTTGTGAAGAATGAACATTTATAATAATAATAATGACAACAATTATAACGGTTGAGAAAGTTTTTTTTAGCTTAAAAGCTATTTCTTAACTAAATAACTAAAAAATATTGATTTCTAATTTTACCAAGTTTGAGATGGAATATTTTCTTTAGTCGGATTAAAAATTATCGCTACAAGTCAAATTGCTGATTTGAATCGGAATTTTTGTGATTTTTGCAGGGCGAGGAGAGACTGTCAAAGGAGGAGCAGCTGAGCCGAGCGGTGCAGGGCATCAACCTCGACCCTTCACAGCCGCCGCGCGTGGTGTTGTGCGCGGCCGCCTCCACCGCCTCCGAGCAGGCCCACGCGGTGCCCCGTTCCCGCAGCCCGAGTCCCCTTTTGGAAGTGCCCCTCGAGAGCGTGGACATTTCGCGCGAGATCCGCCGGCCGCCGCTGTAAACATGAGCAAGAGGAAAAAGTCTTTTCAGTCGAGCAGTCGCCGAACGTCGCTGGTCACCACGGCCGCCGTGCTGACAGAGTTAGAGGAGGCGACGGCGGCCAACCGCAAGCAACTGCGCGACGCGCTCTACGCCGGTATTTTCCACAAGTACAGAAAGACTATCCTCGTGGTCGGCTCATTCATGCGAATGCTGCGAAAGGGTGACAGAAACTACGACGCCATCAAGTGATGACTTTCCTTCTTTTTAAATATGCAGACACACTTATATTTTATTTTCTGAGTTTTGTTTGTTTTCCCTTCAGTGTCAAATTGGATCCAGTTCTCATAAATTTAGGGCGATTAAATGTTTGATTTTGAAAAAATATCCATTATCTTAGAGTATAGTTTGTTCAAAAATGGCATTTGGCATCAAAGCCATCAAAAGAAAAATTTTAATTCGATCGATCGGTCATTCAATTTTGAATTTCACTTTTATTTCATTTCCATCTTTGATAATTTTTTACCACTGAATAAATAAATAAATAATGAAATTTAGTACAAAAAGCATTCAAATTGGTGAGAAATTTAAAAAAAAATCTTTAAATTTTCTATCGAGTTTTTTTTTTTTGGGTATGCAGTATTCTTTGTCATTATTTGTGTAAAACCTTCCTAAAATTGAGGACTGATTTAGAGTTGTTGTTTTAAATGTAATATTTAATGAATGTTGTTAAACACCTTAGTTGCACCATGTAGGTGGAAACATTTGAATTTTGTAAGATAAGGTCCTATCGGTCATATTTGTATAAAAAAAATGAGCGCATTGAGCATTATTGTTATTTGTGTTTTTACTGAAAATAAATTTTAACCTATAAAAAATTTACTGTGCCTGTTTGTTAAACACCAACAATCATCAAAAATTAAAATGATACTCAGCAGCAAATGGCAAGTGGGTGTCAGCATTTGACTCCTGGGGCTGAGGTCGGTCCAGCAATTACGGCCAAGTCGTCATCTTTCAATAGGCCTCTCGGTAGGAAACCCAAAATATTTGCAGCATGTTCTTTGAGCATCTTGAGACGCTCCTCCTCAATAATAGCCAGCCTGATAAAAATGAATTTATTACATAAACAAAACACTCAAGCGCCACAAATGTCCATTGCAACAGATTAAAAAGGTCTGCAAACCTATGCTTGAGCTCCTCTTTCTCCTGTCTCTGAAGTTCTTCCACTTCTCTCTTTGCCTCCTCTCTCTGCTTTTTCCTGTCATCCAAAAGTTGCTCAACAGCTCTCCTGTGCTCAGCTTGCTTTGCCCTTCGTTTGGCTGCACTGAGCTGCTCCAGCTTTTGCTGCTCCGCCAATCTCTCCATCATCTAGAAAATAATTTATTAATATTACCTTAAAAAATCTGCTGCAAATTCAAAACCTCTTGTCTAAACTGTGCATCTTTCTTTTTTTCTTCCTCTATCCGCTGCAGCCTTTCTTGCGCCTCTTGAAGCCAAATTTCACGCATTTTCAGACGCTGCTTTACCCTTCTTTCAAATTCCAGTCTCGAGGCTCTCTCAGCCCTCTGTCTAGCTTCCTCAGCGGCCAACTCTTGCAAAAGCTGCTCCCTTTCGAACTTAAGTTTGGCCTCTTCTGCAAGGCGCTCAGCAAGCTCTTCGACTATCTTGTGCTTTTCCGAAGCTTTCTTCTGAGCCAACGTTGCTCTTAGCTTCATCGTTTCTTCCTGTTCCTCCAAATACTTTTGGATTCGTCTAAAAGTTTCAGGGGTATTATACAAATTCCATGAAAAATAAATAAAATAATTAATGCACCTTTCTTCAATTTCAAATTTCACTCTCTGCACTTCTTTCCAAGCTTCCTGCTCCAGTTTAAATGACTCGATGTCTTCCTTTAAAACGTGCATTTTCATCATTTGCTCCACATTCTCTCTGGCAAGTTAACATTATGGTAAAATTTAAAATTTTGATATGAATTTTTCTTAATTACTGTTCAAGTTCTTCCTGGTATTGCAGAACAAGCTCGTCTAGAATTTTCTTCTCGACCAAAATTAATTCTAGCGCCTTTTGCCTGATTTCATTTTGTTCTTCTAACTGCTTGTGTAGCTGGGAAAAATGCTCCCGTTGTCTTTGCAGCTGCTGCTCGCCGTGTTCTTTTTCCTGCTTGTCGTAGTTTGCCCAAAGCTCCTGCTGTCTTTTGTGCTCCTTTGCCTCCTCGACCTGATCAGAAATCAACATGATTTGAAAATTATTCATTTTTGTAATTTATCCATGCATTACCCTTTCACGCAGACGCTGCGCCTCGCGCTCAGCTCTCTGGGCCATCAATTCCTTGGTAATGTATGCAGCTTCAAGATGAGCCTTCAACTCGCGGAGCTCAACGCTTTGTTCTCTAATTTGCAGGCGCAGTTTCAACTCTTTCATTTTCTCTTGTTCAATTCTCTCTTTTTCTGCGGCCAGCTGCAGCTCTTGTTGTCTCCTGGTCTTTTCCAACTCCTCCATAGCTTTCTTCTAAAATGAAAATAAAATTACGGAAATATTTTTTTTGCAAAATATTTTGTGAATTTTTAATGCCTGCCATCATTTTTACCTGCTCTTCCTTGAATTTTAATTCCATAGCATTTTGCTCTTCAAGGTCGCATCTCTGCTGTCGCAGGACCTCACCCCGTCTATCAATATCAATTTGCGACCTAACGTGAGTGTCCTCCCTTTGATCGAATGCATGGTTCCTCAATTGCTGATCTTTCTGCCATCGTCTGTACGCCTAGAAATTTATTCTTAATAAGTTATGTCCCGTTACGTGCATAGCACGAGATGTTAATTAAATTTTTTTCACAAAATTTAAAATAATAAATTTTACCATACCATTTTCTGCGCCTTTTGATAATTTGGCTCTCAAATTTGCACTGCCTCAACAACGTGAGCATCACACATCATCATATTATGTACTAAACACAAATGCTTCCACAAATACTTAACGTGTAATAAATTCAAAATTATTTTATAAAATTTGTGTTTGTGTTCGCAACTGCCACACCATAAACGGTGTGTGTTGTGCTTTTTGCGGCACCTGGCACTGCCAGTTCTCCCGCCGGCTACACGAATCGGAATCGACCAAACAAAAACAGCTGGTACATATGTATCAGCTGTTGGCGGAAAGTAAACCAAAGTTATAAACTAGAAGAAAAAAAAACTAGAAAATAGAAGCAGGAAAACAAGATGAAAACGGTTTTAAAGAAGGTGAATATTATAAAAAAAAATGTATTACACATACAAACATTAACTTTTAACTTATAATAAAATTCATTTGATTTTTTTTACAGATTTTTGGCCAAGATTCAAGAAAATAAAAGTCTTGAGGTTTTTCCTTAATAAGTTTTTTGACTGGGTGTGAATTAAGAAACAACCTGTTAGCTTTTTTAAGTACACATGCGAGCAATATTTATCTACACATACTTTAAAAATTAATTTCGTATTTTTTCTCAGTAGCAACATTAAACCAAGAGACTGAAAAATTAATCATGGACTTGCCAATTGAAAAACGATTGGAAGCGCTTCCCCAAATAACCCAGCGGAAGCTGCTGAGCATTTTTGACAGCATTCCTGACGTCAAAGACTTGCTAATCGATCCTGCAATAATGAAACCGCTGCAAAGATTTACAGGAATCAAGGCCTTAAGGTAGAATTTTAGGTGAAAAATTTAAATACTTACACATTTTTAGGTCGCACGGAATTGAGAAAATATACCTTTTGGAAGGAGGTCAGGTGCCAGTGACCAACATGAAGCGGGTCTTCCTCCTATACAGTGAATACCCAAAGATCCGACAGGTGCTGCAACAAATCCAGGCTGAACTTCAGCAGCACCAGGGCAGATCTTTGTCTCCACACCTGATTTTAGTGCCCGGCACAATAAGCCACGTAGCTGTGGAGAAGCTGGTCGAAGAAGAGGCTCTCTACAGCCTTGTCACCCTCCACACCCTTAACTTTGAGTTGATCAAACTGGACCAAGGCCTCTGGTCCTTAGAGATGCCTTCAGCATTTAGAAATTTGAATGTGCAGGGAGACATTTCTATGTTGAAACCAATTGCTAAGGCTCTCTGGTCTCTTCAACTTGTTGTTGGTAATATGTAAATAAAATATAAATCTTTGATGTGGACTAATGTGGAGAGGCTGGACTCATATCAATAATGTCTTCTCTTTTGACAGGCCGACCAAATTTGTTATGGGCGCAAGGAGGAATGGCAGCAAAGGTTGTTCAGTTGATGGAGCGATTTCCTTGGCCAAAAGACAAAATCAAGTCCAACCAGGGCCAGCTTGGGTGCTTAGCAATTGTTTCCCGGGATATTGACTGGCCCTCGATGTTTTTAACCCCCGTCACTTACACGGCTCTTGTGGACCAAGTAATTTCACGAGCTAATTATAATATATTACATTATTTTACAAGAAAATTCCAATTTAGGTAATAGGCTCTCACTGCGGAAACGTAAAGTTTGCAAGTGAAGCTGGGGCCAGTTCAGCGCCGGACGGAATTTATCTCAATAGCTCGACGGACCAAGTTTACAGTCACATTAAGAATCTACATTTCAGTAGTGTCTTTCCTTATCTCAGCGTAAAAACAAAAGAACTGCAGATGGAGGCGTGCAAAATCAGCAAAGCCTCAAGTCCTTCAGAAATGAAAGCCTACGTTAAAGAGAGACTGGCGCAGTCAGCCGAAACAAAGAAATCCCTTGCCCAGCACATTGCCACTTGTGAATATGTTGTAGAACAGGTTAAAATTTACTGATCCTTATTTTGTAAAACTATTTTATTATAACAAAGGTTGGATCCAGTTTTGAATCTATACAAAATGCTGAAACCATGGCTTTATCTGGCCGAAAAGGAGTCATGACTCAGGTGGAGGACTTGTTTGGCCAAAACCAACTGAATTTGAGCCAATGCTTGAAACTCCTTGGTCTTCTATCAGTCTGCGGACTATCCGATGACTTTGAAGCTGTTTTGACGCAGTTTTTACTTTGCCACGGCCACAAGCACCTCTCTACGGTACATTCCCTTGGACTGATGGGCCTCCAAGTGGAAGAAGAGTCGTCGAACTCAATTGTCGGACGAGTGGCGCAGGCGATGAAACGAAAGAGCTCTACTATTCAGGTTAGTAGCACTTTTGTGTCTTAATAACTAATAATTTAACAAATTTTATTAGGAGGTGGACAGAAAATTTAAAGTGCTCTTTCCTGATGGTAAGGAAGTGCCAGACAAAGCTCTTCCTGCACAACACATGAGCTACGTCTTTGGTGGATCGTACACACCTGTGGTTGGCAGAATCCTCGAATGGTTTATCAAAGGAGAGCCTGTTGCACAGGTTAATTTAATTTTTTTTCTCACACCAGAATTTTGAGATTTTTTGTAAATACAGCTGGAAGAAGCTCTGAAAGTTTTGCCTGGACCAACTATGTGGAGAGGTAGCAGAGGAGAGTATTTGCCTCGGCCTAACCTCCCAGTCAATCCCAAAACTTACATAGTTTTCTTCATCGGTGGAGTCACTTATGCAGAGGTTTCTGCATTTCAAATTTTAGAGGCATTAACTGGGGTCAGAATTTTGGTAGCATCAACGTCAATTGTCAGCAAAGATACCCTAGTTGAGGCTTGTTCTAACTATTGATAATAAGAAAATGTTAATATTTTTACTGTTTACTTGAAAACAAGATTTTATTTCATGCTCCCAGGAAATTAGAAAATACTCATTCATACACACTAATTAATATTTGAATTGAGAGTTTTGAATAAATTGTGAATAGACACATTCAAGCATAGTAGTTCAGGTTGGCCTTCTTCTTTGCTTGGACTTCCATGATGGCGTCCATGAAGTCTTCGTGTGTCACAGACGTAGCTCCACGTCTCAAGGCAATCATACCCTAAAAAATAGGTCTCGTCAATCAAAATTCAATGAGCGATGAAAATAAAAAAACTTACAGCCTCAACACAAACAGCTTTGCACTGGGCTCCGTTGAAGTCATCCGTGGACCTTGACAGTTCTTCAAAGTTCACGTCCTGGCTGACATTCATTTTTCTCGAGTGGATCTGCATGATTCTCGCTCTGGCTTCTTCATTGGGATGGGGGAACTCAATTTTCCTATCCAATCGGCCTGATCTCAGGAGGGCAGGGTCCAAAATATCCACTCGGTTGGTTGCAGCAATTACCTAGATTATAAATTTTATTACTTAATTATCCAAGGTTTAAGTTTAGTTTTTAAAAGGCGGTACCACGGTATGTAAAAACCAATGGCTTACTTTGATGTCAGCAGTAGAGCTGAAGCCGTCAAGCTGGTTCAGCAGCTCCAACATAGTTCGCTGCACTTCACGATCACCTGCTTTCTCTGAATCGAATCTTTTGGTTCCAATGGCATCCAATTCATCAATGAAGATAATTGCTGGAGCCTTTTCCTTTGCCAGAGCAAACGCATCTCGCACCAATTTGGCACCGTCACCAATAAACATTTGCACCAACTGAGGACCAGCCAATTTGAGGAAGGTGGACTTGGTTTGGGCTGCGCAAGCTCTTGCCAACAAAGTTTTGCCTAGAGATTTTTTTAATGATTATAATTATTTTTCTTTTATAATTTGTTATATAAAAAAACAAACCAGTTCCAGGGGGGCCGTAGAGCAGGACGCCCTTTGGAGGCTGAATTCCAAGGTTTTCGAACCTTTCTTTGTGGGTCATTGGAAGGACGACAGCCTCAATGAGCTAAAATTATCAAATAAATAATATTGTTAGCACCTCTGTAAGATGAAAATATATTCACCTCCTGGATCTGCTTGTCCAGACCACCAATGTCAGAATACTGTTCCGTAGGCCTCTCGTCCACTTCCATAGCCTTTACTCGGGCATCATACTCAGCCGGCAGAGTTTCCAAAATCAGATAGGAGTCTTTGTTGACTCCAACCAGGTCACCTGGTTTCAACTTTTCAGCGTCAACCAGCCCAATCACAGGAAGGAAATATGTCTGAAGAAACAGATTAAGTGAATACAATTCTACTCTGAACAATTTCATCATTATTTGCATTACTTGTCTAGTAGAAGTCTTAATGACAGCACACTTTCCCTTCCTCTGTGCATCCAAATCAACAACTGATCCGTCCTCCTCACCCATGTCTTGAGGATCAACGTCAAGCAGCTGAGGGTTTTTTCATGGATTAGCTAATTTGTTTCACAATATTAAAGTAACATTAATGCACCTCGATGACATTGGAGACGAGGTAAGGCAGGGTTTTGTTGACTTTGATCTTCTCAGCGTTGTCCTTAATTTTGTCGTTCTGTGCTTGCAGCTCATGAGAAATGCGCATCACTTCACTCTTCATGATTTTAATCTCATTGTCGAGCAACCTCGTGCGGCCAATAACTTCATCAGTGGGCATCCGCAACACCTCCTCTCCTAAAGATTCCTGGAATCATCAATTTCATTAAAATTCGCTGTGTGTTGACCGGCTTAAAAGTGCATGTCATCAGACAAGTTAAAATGCTTATTGACTTCATTCAGCACTCGGTGCCAGAATTGCGTGAAAAATTGGTACCAAATTGAAACTTGATTTTTCTGCTATCAAAATTAAAATATTTTCTTTCTGTTAAATGGCAAATTAAGCGTATTTACCTCAGAATCTTCCCACATAGCATTGTCTTCAAGATTCGTAGCCGCCATGATTACGATTTTTGCCTGGTCAAATCGTGTTGCCAGGTATACCAACAATACAAATTATATTCACGACAACAACACTGTGGCGAAGAAATACACTAAACTATCGACCACATCAAATATTTAATTAAAAAATTCGGCTCTCATATATGTAAAACAATATAAAACGTATAGCTTTGACGTGCTCTGGTTGGTATTACGAATACGAATTGCTCATATCCTCACATCTGTCAACCTGTCAGCCCTTCAGCCATTCGAGCGGCAGTTTCAAATTTCAAAACATCAGGGAAAGTTAGCAATGTTTTTGGTCGCAACTCGGGGCAAATAATTTTGTTCTTGGAAGTTATTTTGAGGAAGGATAATTTTTATTAAATAATTATATCGTAGAAAAAGAAATGCATCGTTCTATAAGATGCCTGCAATTTGCTTCAGCGTCTGCTACGTCGAAACTGTTGAAAGGTAATACATACAATAATAATTTTCATTGCCCGCCCTGAACAATCAAATACATATTACGTAATTTACCAAAGCCATTAAAAATGTAATTATTAAATTATTTATGGATTGAGAGTTTTCTTTTGTCCTATAGAAACCAAAAGAAGTGGTTTCTTTTGTCCAAAAGAAACTATGCTTTAATAAGGCAATTAAATTTGAATTGAATTTTAATTTACTTTTTAGCCACCAGCACTGCATTTCTGTCTATTCAACATGAGTCAACCTCTGGCAAAAAAGGAGGACCTTTCTTTCCTCCAGCGCGACCAACAGGACCAAACCCAAAAAAGGAAGAGGAAGTGGCCAAGAAACTGAGGGCTAAAACACCAATTGGTAAAATTTTTGTTCTCTTTAATTTAAAAAAAAATTTTGAAAAAAAAATTATGAATTTGAAGGCAAACTAGATGAGCCGGAGGAAGGGGCCAAGCACCCACATCAAGAAAAAGATCCATTGCCTCCGTTTCCCAACAACACAAATCCAAATACTGGTGAGGTCGGAGGTCCTCGAGGGCCGGAACCTACTAGGTTTGGCGACTGGGAGAGGAAAGGACGAGTGTCAGACTTTTAGGTGTGTATGTGATTACTTCTTGTTAATGTAGTCTAAGCTGTGGTAATAAATTTAAATTGTTGTTGAAAGGAAACAATACAAAACTTAAACGGTGTCTAAACAGTATGGTTATAATCCTATAAACGGGATCAACTTTTTAAGCACTAAAAAATAACATATCAATTATGATGTATTAAAAAATATTATTACTGGATAAAATTTAAATCAACAAAGACGGAAACGCACACAGATATAAAAAATCATAAACTGAAAATGCAGCATAAGTACTGGCACAAACATTCATCATTATCGCCATTATCGTTTAGAAATTCTCTGAATGATGTTCAAAAACCGATCCGCATGAAGCATGCTTGTTGGCATCGGAGGCTCCTTCGTTAACGCTGTGGGTCAAAGCTGGCGGTCCGCAGCTGAAAACCCCAATCTTCTTTACCTGCGCCAGAGTAAAATTTTATCATCAATTTTATTTTCAATTGTGTAAGTCAACAAAAATTACATCAGAATGATATTCAGAAAGCGCAAGGAACATTTTCTTGAAATTTGGTCGTCCAAAGTGAGTTCGCGCCTTCAGTCCAGTAAACAAAGACCGACCACTTGCTCTTTGAAAGTGCCTCTCGCAGATGTACTAAAAATTTTTAAATAATATAGTAACAAAAAAATCAATCATATAACATGATACCAAGAGCATAGTGCGCATATCAAACTTTTCAAAAAATTGAGTGACAAAAATGTGAACGGACACGACCAGTTGCGAATCGACGCTTTCCAACTCACGGATGATGTCGACCAACCACTCAAAGTGCTTTTGAGTTTTTGTCACCCAGAAAAAGTAAACCTAATAAATGAGAAAAACATTTAAATCTTTTCAAAAAAAACTTTCATGCAAAATTCACTTTTTTGCACTTGTGTTGGGACGCTTTAGCCTTGATATTAGCGTTAAAAACGATGTCCTTGAGAATAGATGCAAATGGGGTGACGCCGATTCCGCCGCCGACCAAAATGGAAACGTCATAAGTGTTCCAATCTTGGTGACTTTCGCCGTACGGTCCATCCAAGTAAATCTGCGTTAAAAAATTATTATCATACAAACTAAATAAAATCACAGAAAACATTGAAATTTGTTAAAAAATTTTAACTTTTTCCTGGTTTCCTGGTTGTTCTAAAAATAAATAATAACAAATTGTAAATAGAGAAATTAAAAATTTTACCTTTGGAAGCTTTTTAGTGCCGTCAGAATGTCTGCTTTTAATAAGACGCCGAATATTCCAAGTCCAGGGGCCAACAGCTCTGATGTGAAGTGACAAGTGTTCCTCATTCGGAGCAGACGAAAGGGTGAATGGGTGGTACTCGGACAAGTTGAGTTCAGGGCACGCGATTCGCACCCACTGCCCTGATTTGTAGTTGAAGTTTGAGGGTTTCAAAATTTGCAACATCGTTACGTCTAAAAATTAAAATTTGTATGAAATTCAATAATGATAATTAATTCTACCTGATGGAAGAATTTGCGCTCCAACCAAAGGAATTTTGACCTTCTTTCGACTCATGGTGACCAAATTGTCCAAAGTAAACAAAACGCAGGGGCCCAAGAAGAAATAATGGAAATAAGGTTCCTAGAAAAAAAATGTAATTTTTCTCTTGCAATTAAATATTTAATTTCAATTACTTGAACCAATCTGGCAGATCCGTGGAGAACAATGAGGGCGTAGAAAATCGGATACAAATTGTGCGTGTTCCAAAACCAATTGTGCAAATGTCTGCGCGAGTACGGGATTGCGAAAATATAAATCAAAGCGCCAACGATCACAAGCAAAATTCCTGTGACTCCAGTCAGCGTTTGCCAGCACCAGTAATGGAACTTGGGGATTTCGTGGGTCCTATTTTTTATAATAAATATGAGCGCAAAAAAATAATTTGCTTCTTACGCGTGGAAAAAGTTCCTAAACAAACATGTCAAATCATCAGAGGTTTGTGTTGAAATGTGGTAGAAATTGATTCCGTGGCCAATGCAGTGGAAAACTTAAAATTTTGGTTAAAAATTTTAATTTTTTCTTTTAATTAATTTTGTACTTGTGAATATGAGGGCCCATATGGCGATGTATTTGTGCATTTCGACAGCAGAGTCGAGGGGAATGTAGCGGCTGAGAAAAGTTTCGCGCAGATAGGTAATTGTGTTTCGGCACATTGTGATCAGCAAAGTCGAGTAGGTGAACATCATCGCAGAAGCGGCACCGCGAGTTATCGTAACTCCGTATCCCGCGATGCGACGCAACCCCGCGTGCTCTCGTTCAACAGAATAATCTTTTGAATTAATTAGTTAAAGTATAATAAAAATTTCAATTATTCTTACAATAGGCTCGTTCAGCGAAAATGCTGAGCAGCACCAAAGTGTAGAGCGTGCACCAGAAAATGTGCATCCGGTAGTTTTCGGCCGACCTTTTTATGGAGATGAAATTTCGTTTTATCCACGAGTCTGTTTCGTTGGGTTCTTCGGAACTCGTGTGGGGAATCGCGTGCTCGTCCTGGATGACTTGCTTGTCGGTGTTTTTCGAGTCCGCCTCTTTTTGTTGGGCGATTTCTTGCATCAAAACGCGAGGGTCACTTTTGATTGATGTTTAAAATTATGAATACAAAACTAAAAAATTTAACGAACCCATAAATACTAATGATTGATTCTCTTCGGCCTCTGTTATTGTCAGATTTGGACATTTCGCCACCCGTGTTTATGTCAACGCTAAGAGAATTCATTGTTTGCGTCTGATTACTCATGAACTGCTGGAAGTCTTTCTTGTCATAATTTTCCTGGAAAATGTAAAGATATGAACATTATAATCTCTTCAATGAGCCAGAGTATTTTAAGATTAGATTTTTTAAGAACTTATAGGGTAAACAGAATTTATGGCCTTTTGAAATAAAAAATGATTATCCCTCGATTCTTTATTGATTTCATGAGCTTGATTGAATTGGAAATATATTTTTTCCTTTATATAGGCCGAAATTTATTTACATATTATAAAACAAATAGTAAATAATCATCTATAATATTAGGAAGATTCAAACCTTATGCTCCAATCCAGACGCTTTCATTAAAGTTTCTACCGCGGTCTCCAAGTTTTCCTCAACATCTGCTTGGGCAATTTCCAGCAAAGATCTGTATTATGCTATTTTAAATTTTCATTTCATGCCAATACAATGAATTTCACCTTATCATATTCAAAAACTCTGCCTTTGTCAGCAGTCCGTTTCCATCAATGTCATACATGTCAAAAAGCAGCTCACTTTTTTCCTCCGCGGTACCTAGTGGGTAATTTTGTAATTAATTATTATTGTGCAAAATAAAGGTACCTTTCTTAAATATGACGAATAGATCAAAAAATTCTCGGAACGAAATAAATCCATTGTTGTCTTTGTCAATCAGACCAAACATCTAAAGCCATCACCAGATTATTAGAATATTATTAAACGTATTTTTTTTTTTTATTAACCTGTGTTATAAATTCAGAGTTAGGCCTCATGTTAAAGTAGTCGGCAAATTCTGACTGAGTGAGTTCCATGTTGATCGCATCTGTTACACTACTCTGCACTCGTGAACCAGAAAACAATCCATGACCTTTGGATTTGGACTCCAACTAAAATTATTTGAAAATACTGAATCTAATAATAGCTAGGTTATTTTTTAAAGCAAATACTTGATGCAAAATGTTTTTAAAGAATTCCTCCAGCTTTTTTTGCCTTCGTATTTTGGTGATTGCCTCTTTTTTCATCGTTTTCAGATTCAGTTCCATTCTAGTCTCTGTTTTACATCCAGTACTCTCCGCGAATTCATTCAAAGTGCCAATGAACTCCAAGCAATTGAACAATGACGGGAATCGAATACACTATCATTATAATTGTAATAAATTAACTTTTTTTGACTCCAAAAATCAAAGCTTACCAGATCGTTCAAATTCTGAGCGCGAACCAGGAAGTGCAAGTTGTCAGTTATTTTATATAACGTCAATTTGGTGCTGGGATTGAATGAGATTTTATGCAAAAGGGTGCCGCCAATGGGGCAACAGACCTCCAGTTGTTTCAGTTCCTTGTTGAAAATAATTACGCGCTGGTGATAGCCCTCCTTCCAACTAACCCACTCCTCAACTGTTGACAACAAATCATTAATTTCCCTTGAATTGTTTTAAAGTTAACAAGCAGCACACCTGCAAAGAACTTTTGATGACTGAGATTTTTAAAATTAGACGGAAAATTCGTTGGCTTGGGTTTTACTGCAGTTTTCCTTTTCAACAGCATCACCATTAAGAAAAGGGTGCCTATCATAGCTACAATGATGGTGGCCAATCCGCTAAAAGTAAGAATAAAAGAAAGCTCGCTGTTGGAAAAGTAATCGTAGGTGTCAGGGCGAGTGCACGCTTCCACCCTCGACTCGTCCAGAGGGTGCAAATGCCTGCATTTTCCAGTTGCAGTCCCACTGCAGTCACTTTCGTGCAATTCCGGATTGTCTCGACAGGATTCGGGAATTTCTGAGGAACAAAAATTATTTTATTGTTTGAGTATTGAACATTTAAAAAAATGTTGCCTTCTGGTGTTGGCGCCAAGAATGGGTTTTCCTGCATGTCTTCGTTCAACATGTGCGTAACGCTCATGACTACATCGCGAAATCTGATTTGATGGATCCTGGCGATTTCGGCGTCAGTAAAAAGTCTGAATTTTCAGTCAAGATATGAACATTTTTCCCGCATAATATTTCGTCTTACTTGTTCCGCTTGTTCTCGAACCAGAAGCGATCTCCGTCCCTGATCCTGGTGAACTGATCTTTGATGACCGCTGTGAAAAGTTCTCCAGGCGAATCGCCCGTTTCCATAATTCCACCGACCCACACGTCAATTCTGTTGAGCCACGCGTTCGGATCACTCTGGCCTTCGCTGTACAATCTTTTGAGTTCCTCCTTTATCGACTTTTTGAAAACATGTTTGTAAATTTAATTGCTACGTGATTCTATATGAATACTT